GAGTTGATTGACTTGTGGTGACTTTGTGATATTCTGCCACATGTTTTTCAATTGCCCCGACATGGAGTAAAATAAAAGCTACAGCCATTGACCAAAGCACTTTTCATTTAGGCCCTATATATCTCAGAAAAATAAAAATAGTTCATTTTACTTGTACAGTGTGCTGTATAAATGTATGTATTTTATATCGTGTTTACTCAAATGGGTATTATTTAACTCTAAGGGGTCAAGGGGGTCATCCATAAATGAAGTCACGATTTTTTGGACGATTTTTACCGCCCCCCCGCCCCCCCCATCCGTCACACATTGTCATAAAAAGCACCCCCCACACTAAAATGACATCACGCTTAAGCCTACAATCCAGACCCCCCCCCCCCCCCATAATGACATCACACCTCAGTCTACAATCCCCCTCAAAATTGCAGTTGAATTTTTCTTAAAATACGATATTTTTCCACATCTTGTCTGAGTTCTGTCAACAAAGAGAGTTTTAATCAACAATTCATTAAAACAGTTTTCTAAAACGCGAATTAACGGCTAAAATTCGTTTTCAAACATTGCTTTTTTATAATGCAAAAAAAAAAATGTGACATCACACCATCTGAACATCCCCCTCCCCCTCATCACACACAGTCACAAAATTACAGACCCCCCCCCCTCCCCACTACGAGTGTGAAGTCATTGATGGACGCCCCCCCCCCCCCCCCCAGTGTAAAAATTTGCTGACACCAATTTGTGACATTTAGCCCCACCCTTCCCCGTACTAATCCTAAATTGTATTCCTTGTATTAAAAAGGATGCATTTGTTTTATCTGAAGTATAACGATCCGTCTTTTTTTTTTTTTTTAAACCATCTCTACGTTGAAATAGACTTCTATAACATTCGATAGAATCTATATATCTTAGGATAATATTCAACAAGGGTTTCTCTCAGCAGGACAACTTAAATTATATTCAGTGATTATAGCGTTACTGTTACATCAGTACTGTATGGTTTATTTCAACTGGACTAGTAGGCTTAATCAATGGAGTAAGATGGTAAAGTCAATACTAATTAATGCAACATAATTTATTTTTATCAACTAAATTCGAGCAAGGAAGGTTTTCCCCTGCATTTGTATTTTTAGGGTGGAAATTCCATTTCTAAAAATTCTCTATGACGCTGTTTAACAAAAGCGCCCTCTTACGACGATATGTTTAGTTTTAAACCAATGAAATCTGTTATAAAATTCATAATGTCTTCTAGTGACATCTATGAAAAGAAATTAACCAACCACTCTTCACATAATACTGTAATTCCCCGTAGTTCTAAAGTTAGCAATATTTTTCTGGGATTTTTTACTAAAATGGCGTAAAGCTTGATCTTTGCTAAATAGTAAAAGCTAATACTTTGTTATAATACACACTGCAATCATGAATCCTGAAGGTAGTGTTGTTTTTTAAACAAGTGAAATATGTGTACATCTTCCCTTTAAATTATATTGGATTATTAAACTGATTGTGTGCATCTTTAATGTATAGTTACACTACTGCACCGTGTGACTGGAGACTGGAAAGTAAGAAAACAATCACACAAACCGCCATGATGTTCTAGTTTCACAACTTTGATATTGGAATAATAATTGAAATTCTGTACTCGTGTTAGTAGACTGTTTGTCACTGTTAACTGTTAGATTCTAGATTAGATCTAGATCTTGTAAAAGACCATTGTTGGCTAAATTTGAACAAACAGGTGGCAGTATACTCATAAATACTTAGGCCTAATCATCATTAATTTTAATAGAGACGATACACTAGAAATCTAGAAAGTAGATCTCTAGAAATTTTGGCCTTTTTAATAATTTTATGCAGGCTGATGCCAATTTTTTAGGCCTAGAAATCTAGATTAAATCTAAGAAAGAAATTTAGATCTCTAGATCTAGAATCTAGTGATCTCTAGATCCAGATCTTGATGATAGCTTTTAGCTAGCTTAATACTTAATATTAATAAAGAATAGGCTTAAAGCTAGAAAATCTAGATCTTGACAGACTGATTGATATTATTATTAGGCCCCTAGATCTAGGCCTATTTATTAGTGATCTTTTAGGCCTATATATTATATATTTAGGCCTACTATTCTAGATCTAGATACCAACACATAGGCCTACTTATCACTTTTATTTATAGGATTTAGTCTGATTTTACGTTACAGATTTATCTAAATCAACATAGGTCTAATTCTAATATGTTTTATTACTTGTGCAACATTTAAAAAAAAAACAATTCTTTCATATTTCAATCCCATCAGAATTTGATATCGAAGATATACCTAACATGAACAGTAATGAGCTCATGAGGCTAGTGCAAAACATGGCAGATGAATCTGCTGGTCAGCTGTTTCATAATTTGCAGATGAATCCAGGTCTAATGCCTCACAATCATGGTAAGTCATTAACTTTACACTTTACAACACTATCTGTTTAAACGGTTCTTATGGGCTGCTTAAACAAATAATGTGATAATATTGTAGAAGTAAGCTAATGGCCTTTATTGAGCTATTAGAAAAGTTGTGTTCATACATAAAGTGATAAAGCAAATTTAAACAATTATTAAAAAAAAAATTTCTGAGATCCGATTAAATGACAATAGAGTGTGTGGTGTAGTGTAAGTTTGTTTCTTTATCCACAGTATATAAATAGTAACCAGTATAAATCTCAGAACTGCATTACTCAAATAGGTTTAACTGAAGATAAGATGATATTCTATTCACTAGGACTCAGATTAAATCCAAAATATGTGTAAATACACTCAACCAGTCTTATTTATGTTTAATTAAGGTAGCTAAGGGGTCATCCATTTATGACGTCCACAATTTTTTTGGATTTTGGACATCCCCACCCATCCACAAAAATTCACTTATAACCCTTATAAAAGTCCATATGCGTCCACAAAAGTCAATTTTTTTTTACCCCCCCCCCCTGTGTGGACGTCATAAATGGATGACCCCTAACTTGTCATGTTTTCAAATATAACCTAAGATCCTTCATATGCATTGTTGTTGTTTTGATAGGTCACCCAGTTCAAGAATCAAACATGGGCCATGTACATCCTAACATGTACCCTGGCGGTGCACAGAATTACCCCACTGTACCGAGTTACCCACCACCCAACCACACACCACAGCCTCAAACACTCCCTACACACCACACGCCAGTACAAAATGGTGTGCCTTGGGTGGAAATTGTAGAGCAGCCAAAATCCAGGGGTTTGAGGTTCAGATATGAATGTGAAGGTCGTTCTGCAGGCAGTGTACCAGGAGAAAATAGCACAAATGACCACAGAACCTATCCAACAATAAAAGTATGAATTTATTGTTAACTATAACACATCATTCTTTTTATAGATTTTGATTTTTTTTTAAACAGTAAAACTTGCTTAAAGTTGCATGTAATCATTTAGGCCAATTGCAGTCATTTTCTATCTCACAATTTTCTTTCATAATTGTTTCTACTTTATAATATAGTTTAAGTCTGGCATATTTCACTGAATTTTGTATTTCGATATTGCATTTATTAGGCTGATTGTTATCGTATTTTTTTTGATAGATGGATAGAATAAACTACATCTTTCATTGGTAACTTTCCATGCTATGATAAAACTGATGTAACATAACACTCCTTTGATCATCAGATACACAATTATAATGGCCCAGCAATTATAGTAGTCTCTTGTGTAACAAAAGAAAACCCTCCACATTGTAAGCCCCACCCACACGCCATTGTTGGGAGGGACTGTAAAAAGGGGGTCTGTACATTACGAGTCAAAGATACCAGTGAAAAAATAGTGTAAGTACATCATAAAAGTTTCTGTGATAACACTTACTAGTCTCTGTCTTCTACATACATTGTTTAAATTATAATTGCTTAAATAAAAGTTATTTGTTTGTCTCCCTTATCATGTAGTTTATCATTTCTTATATAAACCTCCGTCTTCTCACTCTTATTATTTCAAATGTTGTGCTGCAGATTTCCTCAAATTGGAATTCAGTGTGCGAAGAAGAAAGATGTTGAAGCCTCCCTGAGGTTACGAAAAGAAATTAATGTAGATCCATATCAAAGTAAGCCCCTTGTTAGACTTTGTTTTACAAATTAATGTTTATACCCCTGGGTTATTATTTTACTATTACTTTTCAAAATTCATCCTTTTTTTCACATTTTGCTAAGCATAATATTTAGCAACATTATGTATAATTTTAAATGTTTTAACTTGATTGTTTATATGATATTTATATTACTCTTGCAGCCGGTTTTGAGCATGCACAGACAAACATAGATCTCAATGTAGTTCGCCTCTGCTTCCAAGTATTTTTACCTAATGAACAGGGTAAAGTGACAAGAGTGGTGCCCCCTGTCTGCTCACATGCTATTCATGATAAAAGTAAGTATTCTAATGTTTTAAAATACTAGGCAGGTTAATTTGAAAATGGAAGTTGGCTAAGCAGTATGGTAAAATTAAAGTGAATCCATTGGCTGTTTAACGGCTTAGTTGCAGCACATTTCTCATTCCCTCAGTCCTAAGAGAAGAGGCACAACATTTTACAATAAAGAATGGGGTTTTTTAAAAATGTATAAAAATTAAACTTTTCTGCACAAACAAATTGATTTGTGTTTAACACAGGCAGATGGACCTGGCGCTGACTGTGGCGCTCTGGTCTTAAATAGTTAAATGTATAAATTATCACAATTTTTTTCCTTAATTTAACACTCCTTGTTGATATTAAATACATATATTAAATTGATTTTATTGTCTGTATAGAATCATCTAAAGATCTTGTCATTTGTCGAGTCGACAAAAGTTCAGGCAAAGCCAGAGGTGGGGACGAAGTATTCCTGCTCTGTGACAAGGTCAACAAAGGTACCACTCATTCTAAAGTCGTGTTAAACTTATTTTATCTGATGTTTATTATTTAACGAGGGAGGCTCGGTCAGATAGAAGCGCTTACTGTGGCTTGAGTCTGTAGAACACTGAACTCTTATGTTTGGGAATCAAAGGCGGCTGGTCATAGTGCTGACCACACTTATCCCTCTTATGCCTGAGTCATTGAAACAGATGAACTGTACTTCATTGGCTCCAAGTGTCTTAGGCACAATTGAAAAAAATTATGATATTATTTAACGTAACTTTTAGTTGTATATTATTTCTCATCAGTTTCTGCATTATTATTTTTTTTTAATAGAGGACATCAAAATCAGATTTTTTGAAGAAAATGAACAAGGAAACATGGTCTGGGAGGATTTTGGTGATTTTGGTCAAGGAGATGTACATAGACAGGTAATTGAAACAATATTAACATGGACTGGATTTTAGACTTTTTTAAAAAATAGAATTACCCCTTTCATCTTTAAGTTGTTTAGAAAATATACTAATAATATTAACACTGACTAGATTGTAAACTTTTCACCAAAAAAAATAGAATTAACCCTTTCATCTTTAAATTGCTTAGAAAATTTACTAACAATATAAACATGGACTGGATTGTAAACTTTGAAAGAAAAAAATAGAATGACCCCTTCCATCTTTAACTTGTTAAGAAAATGTACCATTTGTATGTTCCAGTATGCCATTGTGTTCAGGACACCCCCATATCATAACCTCGAAATAACAAAACCAGTAGAAGTCTTCATGCAGCTCCAGCGGCCATCTGATATGGAGAGCAGTGAACCTATACCCTTCACATACATGCCAGAGGACCCAGGTACAGTCTGCTCTTCATGGCTGCATTTATACATATACAATTGTTTCATTCAGGGGTTATTTCAACTTATTGTACTGAAAAGATGGAAGGGCAGAAAGCTTGAATGCATAGATTGCTCTAAACCCAACCCAGCTGTAATGGGTACCTGGCCACATTTTTTACTTACCACAGTAACCCCAGATTTCACAGTTACTGGAAATGTTTTTTTAATGCTATAGCTCTTAACATTATTTTTAACTCTTTAATAACCATGGGATGATCATTTTATCATGAAACACTTTGATTGAGTGTAGAGTCCTTCAAATATTTGCTTACTTAATGAAAAGCTAGGCAGTCACATTCAGATTTAACTTAAGCCCAAGAAGAATTTTTTTTTATAAAAGCACATTCACCATGGTTGTCAAAGGGTTAAAGAAAAGTCTAGGCCTGGATACCATGGCCACACGGTTGGTACAACTCCACCTGTGGCCCATCAGGCCATAATAGGATAAATGTCTCACCTGCCTTTAATAGAAGAAAAAAAATTCTTTTCTGACAGACCCAGACAGAATAGCTGAAAAAAGAAAAAGGAAAGCACAGCGTTTCTTGGAATATTGGAATAGTCCAAGTAAGACAGTTTATATCATTTTTTTTTAAAGCACACAAGCTCTTATTCATTAAATATTTTAGTAGTTTAGATTGTATTCTGTCTTTATAAATCTACATTTTTCAAGTGGATTTTTTTCTAATAATAATATAGAGTCAATGTTTTGTTTTGTACCTAGTGTACTTTTTAAAACCAATTTTATTCTTTTTGTATTGTAGATAATGACTTTAGAAAAGGAGCAGGTAATCCCAGTGTCAGAGGACGACTACACTCAATGTTGAAAGGCACAAGACGAATTAAAAAAGAACCTGAAGGTTAGTATTTCTTAATTAAACCTTTCTCCCTGGAAAGTAAAATAAACTTTATTTCTACGCACGTAATGACAATTAACATATTAACTTACTAGAAGCGGAAAAAATATTTTAAAAATTCTTTTGTTTAGATGAGTTAACTAAACATATTAATAAATGTTGTATCTAACATGCTTATCATACTAGGGAGGTAGAAATACAAATTATAGCTAATTTTGTGTGTTAAATATTGTATTTCACCTAATGCTGATTTGAAACATATTTGATTAGTTTAGTTTCCTTGATTGCACTGTGTTCATGCGTTATTCTCTTTCACAGCAGGCATGAACCAGTTCTCCATGGACAACACTGGAGCTGCCGAAGGAGCCAGCGCAGCTGGAGCCATTGGCGGGGCCGATGCTACCATGAGCCACGTCACTGCCGACAACTCCTCCATGGGCAGTGTCACGGTGTCTTCCTTCTCTGCTGGCAGCTTGGACTCTAGCGTCATAGCCGAGTTGTCTGGCCTGTCCAGCAGCGACCTCTCCATTGTTTCTACGGAGAACGGCCAGCTGGTGATCTCGGTGTCTGGGGAAGGGAGCGGCCTGAGTGTGGACAGTATCAACCTGCCTTCCAACATGCTCAGCGGTGAACTTATGAATCAGATTGACATCCAACAACTTAATGCTTATCTTCAAGTAAGTAAACTTGGTGTTTTAGGACATTATTTGAAATACGTGAAAATTATTTATTAGGGTTAAGATACCAGGCTTGAGTCTCTAGGACATCCTTGAGTTACATCAACTCTAATGGGTACCTGACTCACGTCAGGGAAACACAGGCAGCTGGGCATAGTGCTGACCACACTATCTCTTTGTGTGCCGGGGTTAATTGAAACAAATCAACTCTGCATCATTAGCCCCATCTGTCTTGGGCACGAATGGGAAAATGATGATTTATTTCACTATAACAGATCTAATAGTATATAACTTTAAATTATCTATTCTATTCCTAACTGTAGCGTACTGTAATTCTTGAGACTAAAAAATTATTTAACAAGGTGCATTGGTCAAAATGCTAGCTGTTTAGTTTTTTTATGAGAGTCACAGCATCTAGCAAGGGGGACATTTAAGTTGGGGGGGTTCAATATTTATAGCCTTGTCCCCATTATTTTATACTACTTAAATAGCATTTCTACCCTAATATAGGCACATTTTGATTTATAATGTCCTAATTATTTACAATAAATAAAACAATAACTTGTATAAAGGATAATAGCCATCAAAGTTTGAACAACACATTCAAAGTTAAAACCAAACAGAAAACCTTGTCTTAATGCCTACACTTTAGCATATGAAATTATATTCTTTGTAGTGATTGGTTAACTGTTTATACCCAACCAGTTAGTCTTTAATTGTGGAAAAAAATGAAACCACTATGTTGGTTATTATATAAGATACTATGAATCTTCTGACAAAAATGAATTGGCAGAAGTTAGACCAGCCTTGTGTACCCTCGTGTATGCATACATTTAATCAGTGTTGTTTGGTCATTAAGGGACAGAGTTGGCTATTACTCAAAATTAGCTTTAGATTGTAATTTATTAAGACCAGTGTCTTCTACTAACAGCCAGTAGTTGACAATGTCTTCTACCAACAGTGCCACTGTCTTGCTTGTTAAACTTGTCTGTATGAGTATTCCTTGTTGTCCCCAGGACCAAGAGTCCGTGGAATTTATTTGAAACCCTATCTACCCCACAGGACCAGGGCTCAGGGAATGAAATCCTGCTGGGTCAGTCCAACCCGACAGACCAGCTTCTCATGGGCAATAACCCCAACCAGCCCATCCATATCATGGACACTGATCCAGAGACGGAGGCCGCCCTGCGTGGATTGCATGCTCAGATATGATTGTCTTGGATGGCTAGCGACGGCTGTGGTTGTTCCAGAGGATAGAAGCTGCTCAAGTGGCTGGTGTTTGCTTGATGAACTCATGTGTGTTCATACAAGCTAGCCTGCTGAAAAAAAGATGGATGCTTGCTAAAAAAATTCTACTAGATTTACTGAAAAATTTCTTTTTTTTTTTTTGAGGGGGAAGACAGGACTAATCAGTAGAGTTTAATTGATAGACTTCTTGATTAGCTTTTGGGAAGGTTGTCCTAAATTTCTGTCAATCATCTCTTAAATGGCTGTGTTCAGATCAGTAAACTAGTCTGAGGAATAGCTTTGTTACTAAAAATGTAATGAAACTGCCAAATGATCCTTCTCAACCTGCTTATGTTATTCTTTTGCTTTCTCTGTTGTTCCCCATAGATTCTAGATTCCATGTGATTGTTGTGAGTTTTACAAATTGCCTTGATCTGGATAGAATCACGAATTGTGGCCTTTCATCCGTGTACCTTGAGTGGAGGGCATACACATGTGGTCAGAGGGTCGTTCTTATATCACTCAAACTCTTTCACCTTGTCCTTTTCACTGCTTTTTATTCTACTCTAAGATTGAGAAGTTAATCATTTTTTGTTGTTTTATTTGTAACATACTTGTAAATAGTGTTTATGTGATATATATACAACAAATGCTTTTTTTTTTTGTAAAAAAAATTGTGTGTACCAGTTTTGTTATGTTATTCATGTACAAGGTTTCTCTTTGTTGACTTTTGTTTTTGGCTGGACATGTGCATCACAAAATGATCTTCAGCAAAGTTGGAATTTTGAAGCTTGCCTGAATGATAAAACTTACAGAAGTATAATTCTTATGCTCAACACATATTAAACTGTATACATTTAATTCCATTTAGACATAATAAACTTTGTCCATAGTTAGCAAGTGAAATATTTAGAGTAAAAAAAAAATTCAGCCTTTCACTGTAAAACTTAAAAAATGTAGGCATGAAATGAATCTCATTGAATTCAGGGTTATTGTATAGCAAGAAACAACAGTGTATGTGAAAGGTTATAGCTTTAGTTATGAATGCACTTGCTTCTTTCATTCACAAAGCAATCAGCATCTGCTATACAGTGGTGATTTCCTTACTGGCCATTCCATATGTGTATGCATCCTGTTGCTGTGTGATAGTTTGTGTGTGATGAGTGAATGATTGTTCTAAACATGTCACTTGGCAAACATACCAGATGTTTTTATTTTCTTGACACTAAACCAAATGGTTTAAAATACGGAAACTTGTCAGTCTATTGAAAAGCTAGTGTCAGAAGGAAATAGGACATCTGTTTTGTTGAACTACAGTAGTTTTTACTAAGTAACCATTGCTTTATTTGACATGAAATTTGTAACGCGTGATGTATACTGCAGTTAGATTTGGAAACGTTTATCACATTTGTCTTATGGCCTTATTGACTTTGTCCATTTTGTAGTATGATTATATGAAAAGCTTTTATTTTTAAACATTTAAAATAAACATTCAATTCAAACAAGACATGAGTCCTTTCATAATTTGTTAGCCATTGTAAGGCTTTTTTTTATTTCAGTAGAAACAATAAATATAAAACAGAAATAACACAGCTAGTTAAGTAGTCTTGGCTCAGACCTAGATGCAACCAGCTAGGTGTACATGTTACAATTAACTAGCAATGTCCTCCAAATGTGACGAACTTTACACTGCTACAACTTCCACAATATGATCCTGTACACAGCAATTGTTCAATTCTGGTAGTGCTACATGCTTTACCAAACAGGCAAGGTCCCCTGACATTGATACAATTAGACATCAGGTTTCTGTGGCAGCTGGCTGACCACTGGTTAAAACTGTATGACCTTCTATAACAAAGGATTGACCAGGGCAGCACCTTTCATCTAGCCTAGACATCCGTACCTACAAGAAAACAAGCTATATGAAACTGTCAAAGCATACAGTTGTATTACATAACTTATGCACAGCACTTAAATGTTTAGGGAAAAAATTTTAGGTATTTTTAACACAAAGGAGGAAGAATAAATAATTTTTAAATTGAATTATATACTTTCAGGAAAAGTTAACATTTCAACTTTAATCATTTTTTTAAAACAGCACTAAAGTTCTGATTTATCACTTGCTAACTAACAGTAAAAGATTTACTTTGTTTTACTTAAACTTACAGTTGGAGTTTTGTCTTTTCCAGACATGTAACCAAAACACATGCTGGCCGTTGAGTGGATCCACAGAACTTCAACTGAAACAATTTAGACAAAAATATGTACCATGATCATAATACAGTACCAGAATACTTAATGTCAAACATAACAAAAAAACAACACCTCAACTCCTAGCAAAATGAGCTGCCATTAAACTTAGTTCTACATATCTGTCCCATGGACCATCAGGTTCAAAGAGTTATTTTTTCTACTAACAGTATCAGTACCATATGGATTAGATATATCAATGTGCATTGCATAAACATAGTTATGCTAAAAAAAAAGACATTTAATTTGTAATGTAGAATTTCTATACTCACTTTCTCTAACACCATTAATTTGTATTTTCCTGAGAAGAAGAGCTCCGGCAAATTTATCTTTATCACCAGCCAGAAATTCTGACTCTGAATAAAAATTGTTGCATACAATAAAAAAAAAACAATCATGAGAAAGTCATACAGAAAAGGGTAAATTTTTAAAATTATGAAAGTAATTCTAAAAAGGAAAATACCCTACCCATAAATTTAGATTTAAAAATTTCTAAAATTAAGAAAGTAATTCTAAAAAAAAAAATTACAGATAAAATTAGATTTCAAAAGGTACATTTTTAAAATTATGAAAGTACCTTACCCATAAAATTAGATTTAAAAGTGCCAGTCAGGGCTTGCGTAAGGTTGTCTGTTGACCGTATAGAATCACAGCAAGTCTTGGCTAGCAATGTTTGCATCAACTGTTCTCCACAGCCTGCAACAATTTCAAATGATTTTTCAAGTAGTTTTTGTAAAATTTTATAATAAAAATTGAAACATTTTTTATCAGCATTAATATAAAAAAATTTCGGTATTTAAAAATTACTGACCCCTGATTAGTGACCATTCATTTATTATTAATATTTCCAAGTTAATATTTCCTTTATTCACAGATACTTTATCGGCAATATTTTAATATTTCCTTTATTTACAGATACTAATACTATATCAGCAATATTTTAATATTTCCTTTATTCACAGATACTATATCAGCAATATTTTAATATTTCCTTTATTCACAGATTCTATATCTGCAATATTTTAATATTTCCTTTATTCACAGATACTATGTCAGCAATATTTTGTACCTGATGTCACAGCAGCAATGCCAGGTTTTGATTCTGAAGTTTCATTCTGGGCCCAACAGCCAGCGCCATAGACAGCAGCCTGGTGAAATAAATATATAGACAAAACTAATTTTACACAGGCAATACAGACATTTTTAACATCACTCATCACCAACATTTACTCCAGGAATTAGTGAAATGATATTTTATTTTAAATTTTAGAAATTATTTAAAAGTACAGTACTTCAGCTTTAAAAAAATTATGGAGAAAAAAAAATTGGGATAAAAATTATTTTTTGGCAAGAACTAATGCCAGTGTTGAAAATAATTTAAAAAAAAAATTCTCAATAAAATAACAAAACATGGCTGTTATATGACTGATCTATAAAATAACAAAACATTATTTTGGCTGTGTTATATGACAAATCTATAAAATAACAAAACACAGTTATGGTTGTGTTATATGACAAATCTATAAAATAACATTATGACAAATTTATAAGATAAAAAACATGGTTTTTGTTGTGTTATTTGACAGATCTATAAAATAACAAAACATTGTAATGTTTATCTTATATGACAGATCTATAAAACAACAAAACATGGTAATGTTTGATTTGCCGCAGTTCTTACAGGGCCCAGTCTCCCAGCATGCTTCAGCCAGATGCCCCCACTAGAGGCTGCAGCTGCCATGTTCCCCTCACTGTCTATACACACCGCACCAACTGTATCCTGCACTTGATCATCACGGGGGTTCTCACACTTCTAGACAGAAGGACGCAGGAAAAAGATGGTGTGACGAAAGATGTGGAAAAATGTAGATGCTAAAAATATTAATTTTAACAATTTTCATAGGGAACTAATTTAACCAAACATAAAGTTAACAATAAAAAATTACACGCCAGTATTACCTGGTTTTCTTCCGAATCTTTTTTTTCAATTTCTGAAAATTTTCTTTTTTTGTTTACCAACAAAGCAGATGGTTTTTTGAAACACTTCTTAGAATAACGCAAGAATGTTTTGTAAGCAGAATCTGTGAGTTAAAAATCAAAACATAACATCGTTAACCGATTTTTTTTATTATAACATTCAAATAGCCTACTAGATAGTTTTTTCTTGAGACTTTGTTTCGTATTAAAAAAAATATGCTAAACTAAAATAGTTTTTTGTTTTATAGTATTGCAACAATTGTTTTACCTGTTATTAAGTTATCATTAACTCCTATCCCATGCTCCACACAGTATTCTTGAGCACCTTTCCCCACCAGGATACTACAGTCACACACAAAAAACATTAAATCATATGTAAGCGATAACTAATAAATCACATAAACAAAAGCAATTAAAGACCATATTTTAATAGTATGAGACCATATTATTGTATTCATAGTTGAAAATAAATACTACATTGCAATGAGTTTTTGGCACCCAAAAAAAAGTACAAATATCTTTTTTAAAATGTTGTTGTGATGGTCAAAATGTAATTTTTCATGTTATTCCTTTTGATTTTTTTTTCAAATTATCTTTTAAAAGAAGCCACAGTCCTTAATCTTTATCAGTGCAAAAACTCAGAAATTTATTTCGAAACAGGGCAGTGAAATAATTACCCAAATAATTTTTATAAGAAAAAACCAAACAAATTAATGATTTTTTTTTGTGAACATGATATTTCAAGAAATGAGGTCAGCTTTAAACTTTATATTTAACTGATGTAGAAAAATGCCCTCACCTTGGCCTAATTCGTCCAAATGGTAAAGGACCTAGTTTTTTCTCTTCAACAAGTCTCCTTGCCACAGTCACTGGATTAGCAACACCTAAAAATAGGCGATTGTAAGATGTAAAAATTATTTTTAATTAGATAAATCCTTTTTAGAAGAGTTACTCAAAGAAAGATAAATTCAGTTGTCAAAGTACAGAAATTATAAAAAAAACATTACATGCCTTGGGTATTGTCCATAAGTGATGTCATTTGATTTAGCCCATTTTTTTAAATTTATGAACCTTCCAAAATATCACATGTCACAAAAAGTAAAACTCCTGTCCATTAAATAAAATCAATAGTTAAGTTAATATGTTCCACCCAAAAAAATCAATCCACCTCCTCCAGATGTGAGACATGAATGAACTAGGATAAAACAGTATACCTGACAGAGCGCCCACAGCTCCAAAAGACAGGGAACTCCCACACATAACACTGGCATCACACTCAACAGTTCCATGCATGGTCAGGTTTGACCCTCTGCCTGTGTTGGTACACTCGTCATTCTTAATTTTAAAAACAAATCACGTCAGACTATTTAGAACAGGTAGGCTAATTATAATTTTTTTAAAATTCTAATCCTGCTGACCTTTCTAATAATATACAGATGTAACTTGCATGCTTAGAACTGATATATACCTCCATAGCAGCCACAGCAGCTGTAACAGCTTCAAGAGCTGATCCTTTGCCCAACAACAATGCCATTGCCTATAACATGAAGATGTTTATATAAAAACTGTATTTAAAAAACAGTAATTCCTTTAATAATAATGAGCGCCATCATGAAGTGTCATATCTAGTTAACAACATATGGTAGATAGTCAACTAAACTAAAACCTATCAAAACATAAATATTTTATTGAATAAATTCACCTGTTGACAAGCTCTTTTACATATGGATTTATGGTTCTGACAGCTTGAATCTGCATGGGTTCCTGCTCCTATAAAAAAAAAAGTTTGTAGGCCTATTCAGTTCACTTTTTGTTAGTTATAAATTCCATTTACCAGACAGTTTCTGACCTTTAACTTACTTTAAGGAGCTGATCAGTGTAATAATATGGTGAGTAGAGTAATTTTACTGGTAAAAAAAAGTAAAGAATCTAAATTTATAAAGAGTAGGGTCCTGCAAAACTTGAGCAGAGTATGACATTTTTTGGAGCATTTTAAAAATTTTAATTTTATAATTTTAGTTGTGTATTCAGTAGGCCTATTCACTCACTGTTTTGTATTGACATGTGTCATGAACCAGCACACAAACACTTACTTAAAAATCAAAGTAGGCCTACACATCAAATAAATAAATTTGAATAGGGCCTACAATCTACATTAATAATTAATAAATTATTAATTAGGCCTATAATTAATAATTATTAATTATTAATTATATAAAATCACTATTAATAAAATTGATAAATTATTATTATTAACTTAGTGACAGTTTACAAAAGAAAAGAAAAAACAAAGCTTACCTGTGTGTACTGCAACAAAGACACCACGTTCAAAATTCATAGCTACTCTTAAAGCTTAACTCTAGAATCTAGCTGACTCAAACTAGATTTTCTAATTATTTTGAAGTCTAGTCAAAAAAAATTAAGAGAAGTTGAAAGAAAGCGAAAGTAAATAAATTTCACTAACTCTCGGCTGGTTCTCCAGGGGAAATCACTATTAGTGCACATGCATTTATTTATGATAGGCTTTCCAAATAAGCAAAAGAAATGTCGACTTATATCTATTCTTTATAGACTTATATTCCTTTTTAATACCCACATTTCAAAACATATAGATCTGGATATGTATATTTATAAGAATATAAAAATCTTTAAGATTTTAGTGACTACTCGAAATGAATGTTAATAAAAATGCTAAAAATAAAGTTATTTTCAATCATAAAACTGTTGTTGGACAGTGGTCTAGCTGTATTTTGTATATTTTAATCTGGCAAGATTAGACGGGCAGGTTCAAAGACGTAACAAATCATTTAGTTATTTAATAACATAGTTCTAATGATCACAGTCATTTATTTAAATTAGAATATAATCAATTCCAATCGATGTCGGTAGCATTCTTGGTAAAATCTTAGTTTAGCGTCGTAAATTCCAACGTAGCTAGTAATGTGCGATGAAGGTAACTAATGAATATTTCTTTCATTTGGCCATATTTATGTCATATTTTACATAATATAACAGATAATTGAATAACAAATCACAATCCAAGACCAAACCAGTCATAAATATCCTGGAATAAACTTTAAACTACCCCGTTCGAAACAACAATGAATAAATACAAGCAGCGGCCATGTTTCAAAAACAAGAAATTGTCTATTCGCATGTCTGTTGTGTTGATTTTGTGGTTTAATATGATTGTTTTGTATTAATATATGCCTGGGGGTCGTCCATAAATGACGTCACACTCGTAGGGGGGAGGGGGGGTCCGTAATTTTGTGTCGTTGTGTGATGAGGGGGAGGGAGGGGGGGGGGGTTCAGATGGTGCGACGTCACACTTTTGCATTTTAAAAAAGCAATGTTAGAAAACGAATTTTAGACGTTATTTTGCGTTTTAGAAAACTGCTTTAATACATTGTAATAACAATTGATTAAAATACTCTATTTTGACAGAGTTCAGACAAGATTTTCGAAAAATACAGCTGTTTAAAAACAATTCAACTTCAATTTTGAGGGGGGTTGTAGGCTGAGGTGTGACGTCATTTTAGGGGGGGGGTCTGGCTTTTTGTGACGACGTGTGACGGGGGGGGGGGGGGGGGGGTAAAAATCGTCAAAAAAGCGTGACGTCATTTATGGATGACCCCCTGTATAGTAATTTTTCTTTTTTTTAAAATATAGTTGACATGAATGACTAATAGACCTTTTCAGACTTAATAGTGTGCATCCAAGACCATAACAATTGTTGAGAGGTCGAGCTTTTGAACACTTTATTTGCAGTAAGCAAATCAATATTTGATCGCTTAAATATGACGTCGCTCTTAAGATAGTAATGACAGCGTGCATTATTACAGAGCAAACATATGAACATATTGTATCAGATAGAAATTGTGATTTGTGGTGGGGAGAGGTTGAGTAGAACTCAGCGATGTGATTTTGGAGACGGGTCAATTTTTTTTTCGTGAAAACGGGATGGTTGTGGGAGAAAGACCAGTGTAGAAGTATGACGCGTCATTCATTGGTGATCCATTTTCTCAGTGGGGACGATAGAACTATTAAGAAGGGTCAAGCAATGTAAAAAGCATGCTGAGTCGCATTTCTTGAACCCCACCTTTTCATTCCCCCACTTAGCACATCGTCACCGAGTTAACGCTCGCACGTGACGTCATGTACCGGTGCCGCCGACCGTTAGGCTAATTTTATAGAAAAAAAACAAGCACTGCCTTTTTGACGCTTTTGCGACGTTTAATTTGATTACATAAGTTGGTGTTCATTAAACAGCCCCTAACACACAGAGTTTCTTCCAGGCATCTCTTTGGGGGGGGGCTTTGTCGCCCCCCCCTCCCCGAATTTTTTTACCGCCCCCGCCCCCACCCCCTCCCCGAACGAAATGAAATTTATATAATTTATATAGAAAATATATACTTTTAACAGTGTCCGCCCCCCCCCCCCCCCCCCCCCCCCCCCGAAAATTTCCAGTTGACCCCCCCCCCCCCGGAGAAAAAAGTCTGGAAGAAACACTGCTAACACATCTATCACTCGTCCATTTAAACGTATGTATTTATTTCTGCAAAGCTTGCTGTCTTGAGACTTTCGGCCCTTTAAAAATGTATTAAGCTCTCACCGTATAGAACTAGACTACCTATATTAAGCTCCAAAAGAAGCTTGGTGAAAACAGGATGGCCGTCCGATTTTGAAGCTGCTCTGCGCTTTATAAAAAGCACAATAAACGATAAGACGACACTTATATTAAAGTAAATTATCGTTCTGAATCTTGATACATTAAAAGTGATATTCGGAAATTAAGAGCCAGACAGTCTATATGATATTTCAATTTAAGTCCAAGAAAATAAATTTTCTCAAACGATGGGACATTACTAAATTTTCGCGCAGTTTAGCGAAATTGAATTTAAGTATTTACGTCATCTTACAAAGCGCGATAGCCTACTGGTGCTCTAACGCGGCCCATGCTAATGGCCGTATTCCTAACGCCCCGCATTAGACGCGGCTTATTCGTCGGCAGGCCTTTGGTGGCAAGCCTTTTTGACGGGGATAATGTGTTGAGGCCGTTTTGTCAAATGTCTTAAACTAGCAGGCTTGAAACCTTTATGATTATTCGTTTTGAGCAAGGTATACATATACCAATGCTTATTTATCGTTATTTTGATTGAACAAAGCATTATAGAGGTTCTCCATCAATCACCTAGGTATTTTCCCCGTTCACCTCCTTTCAAGAGACCGACACGTCATAAATTGCGGAGCCGCCTGCGCTGACGTCACAAATCTTCACTCACCCCCGTAGCAAATCATATGTGACATCATTTATGGACAACCCCATATCACTCACTTGGGTACTTGATATTGACAATTTGACAACAAAGGACAACCAAAATGTGTCTGACAGGTGGAGACTTGTGATCGACCATAATGACAACACGCACTTAAGTGGTGGAGTGGCTGATTATTTTAGATGATGTTTTACGAGGGAAGCTGGTGGATAATACATTTTGTCTCTCTGTATATCGAAATGAAGACAAACATTTATTGTTGTCAAAATTATGGTTAGAGAATTTAGATAAGGCAGAGTGAAGATATTTTTTTTTTACATTATGACTAGTTGTGACATTGACAACAAAAATATGATGGAGGTTGGGGTTTAATTAAGGTAAAGAGAAGTAAAAAAAACTGTCATAATTTACGATAGAATCACTAATTGATGAAAAGAAAAACCTGAAATGAAATTAGTGAACATTCAAACAACAAGAATAAACTCAAACTATATAGATCTAGTAATAGTAATGATCAAATAAAAATTAGTACAAAAAACGTGATTTTATACATGGATACAAGTTGCATCTCACAATACTTCTAAAATTAATAAAGTTGTTTGTTAGGAAATTCAGTTTTTAAAGGGCAGAATAAAAAAAAATGCTTTGTAGGATGGACTATACAACAAGACAATCATATTTAAATACATTTTCATACGAATAGAAATGAAAGGGAAGCTACTCTAAATAACATTTTCTTAAGATGGCTGCTGTTTTTAATAACAAATTTACGATCTCGAACAGAGTTGATACATAATAAAACATATTAATTTCAGGATATTTAAATTGATTTAACCATCAATGGTGATCTATTATTCAATTATCTATAATATTTTATTAAAATATACGAAAATAAACTCATATTTAAAGAAATATACATTGATTCACTCTCTCCCCCATTACTAGTTTTGGCCGAATTTACGACGCTAAACTAAGATTTTACCGCATTCTTTGCTACACTTCACTGCTGAGTTAACTTATTTTACTTTTTGAGTTGTAATTAGACTGATGATAGACTAAAAATTGATAGATCTAGGATCTACTACTAGATCTCCCCATTCTACTAGAACTTGACTTAGTCCAGTATGATATGCAGAGCCGGCGTTAGGGGGTGGCGAACGGGGCGGTCGCCATAGGCCCCGCGCTAGAAGGGGCCCGCGCGCTTCAGCAATGTCATTGTTATCTGAATTAGTTCGTAAACTTAAAAAAATTGTTGCTGAATTCAATTGAGAAAAACTAAATGGTCGAATGCTGACGTTGTTGATTGTTATAACTGAGGCCACGGTTGATGTTGGTGAGTCCCACCTGAACTGGGACAGGCCGTAATTCGATACAAAAATAGTGTCACACACCTCCCCTTTGTGTAGGGTACGGTCGCCTGGCATTTGACCTGAGCTGACTGGAGATGGCGGTCGAGAATTAGCCCACGACGTAAAGAGATACCCTATTGTATGCGGACCCATGAAGACGTCCTTTTAGTGAGCAGACGGGATGTCTGTAGTAGATTTTCTTGGGGGGGGGGCATACTGCCCCCCCCCCCCCCCCCGAAGAGATGCCTGGAAGAAACTCTATATGTAGGCTTACTTGTCTTGGTATAACAAAGTTAACATTCAGTTGCGTGCAGAGGGGTGGGAGGAGTGCGACGAGGGGGGGGGCTTAGAATCTATATCAGGCGGCATTAAACAGAGTGATTTATTATTATTTTTTGGGAGAAAGTTAAAACTGTTGTTATGTTGTGTCACCTTAAGGATTCACCCGTTCAATAATTAAGACAATGATGTTTTTGGTTAAAATATTGTATGAATTCTAAACAAATTTTGAAGTCTATACTGTTTTGATACATCAGGCCGAGTTCGCTGTATTGTAAACTTTATTTTCCTAATTATTCGGCACGTGATTAAATTTTCTTAAGTGATTTGGTATGAATTTCATAACTGTCAAAAGTCATTAAATATCTTAGCAAAGGGAAAAAAAACTACGAACATTGGATTAATACATGGGAGATATAAAAATCTGTTATTATAGTGGAAAGTTTGACATTAGCTTATAAACTCCAAAACATTTGTGTTATTATGTGAACATCACATTATATAGGCCTTTATATATATATATATATATATATATATATATATATATATATATATATATATATATATATATAATGGAAAGGCCCCGCGCGGATGGTTGGCCCTAGGCCCCGCGTATTCCTAACGCCGGCTCTGATGATATGATGAACTGTTATACTCAACTGTTATATGAACTGTATGATATGAGTTTATTGAGTAGTAACAGTTACTTACTAGCTATTACTAAGACTAACACAGAACAGTACACACGAAGTGACTAAATTCTAAATAAATATTAAATAATACTAGACTAAATTTAACTAAATGACTAAGTCGACCAAATTTACTAGGCCTAATTATACTAATAATTAATACACTAGTCCAGTCTCTATTCTGAAGCCTAAACACTGTAACACTTAACTAGTATAACTACATACTAGATCTACATAGTGAAGATTCAAAGATCAGCCATTACACAGCCATTTTATTATAGGCCTATAATAATATATTAAATAATCTAGATCTTTACTCTATTTACCTAAGTTTATGTTACTAATTTTTATGTTTATGTAACTTCTTTTTTTTCAGAACTTTTAAAAGATAAGACTAAAGGAAAGTATAATTCTTTTGATGTCATGTGTAAAGAAATCAGTACAAGTGCTTTTATTTTTGAAGCAGTGACTTATCATGGCTAGACACAGCAGGCTACAGCTTCAAGTAATCAGCTTGTACAAACAGTTAATGAGGGTCACACAAACCAAACCAAGCTTCAAAGATTACGTTAGACAAGAGTTTCGCCAAAATGCGCAAATAGCAAAGACTGATGTTATGAAAATTGAGTACCTGTTGAGACGAGGCTGGAGACAGTTAGAGATGTTAAAATCTAGTCAGGTGTCCAATGCTGGAGTCTTTGAAAAGGAAGAAAAAATTGAAGCAAGTGACATAAAAAACAAGACGGAAAATAAAGTTTAAGTGTTGACAGTCAACTTAAGTTTTTAACTAATATTGCTGTTGAGAATCAGACTAAAATATTAACAATGGGTCTTACTCATATGTATAGAGGTCTGCTATTTTCTTCTTCTGTTAAAAACATGTGCACCTATTCAGTGATGAAACAATTGAGAATTCTAGCTAATTCATCAGGAAGTAATAAATTTCTGTTGAAGTTTAAGAGTTGTGATTTCAGTTTTCAAAGAAGTATTCATTTGAACCACCAAAACGAAAAGCTTGCTGTTAATACGGAAAAAAAGTCTGAACCCAAAAGTGGACTAAATAAAAATCCAGAAACAATTATAAGTAATATCAATTCAAAGAAAGAGCTAAATCTGATCAAGAGGGATAATTCCAAACAGAAGGGTATATACAGTGAAATTGTTGGCTCATTTCCAGAAGGTATTCAAATGGCATTTGCCTATGGGTCAGGTGCATTTCAGCAAGAGAATTCACCAGATGTGAATAAAAATGTTCTGGATTTTATATTGGTGGTGGACATGCCCAGAAGATGGCACCGTTTAAACTTAGACAAGCATCCACATCACTACTCGTTTCTTAAACGTTTTGGACCTCACACCATTGCTAGAGTACAGGAAAGGTAAGTTTTATAATACTTTCTTAGTTGCTGAGTGATAAAGTACTTTCACAATGTTGTTTAGTAGTAGAGCACTTTCATAGTATTGCTGAGTGATAGAATCCTTACACAGTGTTGCTTAGTGATGGAGTACTTTTAGAGTTGTTGAGTGGCAGAACACTTGAACAATATTGCTGGGTGGTAAAGCACTTTCACTGTGTTATAAATATATATATGGGTCAATGTTTCAGTGAGAAGTAGAGCACTTGGCTTGATTTTGAATTTCATTACGTTAGTCTTCAACTTATAAGATATCTCATATCATATCATATGAGATCTAATTAGCTTTCGAGTCCCACAGACCAGTAATGTTTATAACTGTTCAGTTTTAGTACTTTACAAGTAAAAATTCATCAATAAGCTAAATTCTATAGTATTTTGATAAAACAATGATCAAATTCAGACCTGAAGCAGGTTAGTATTTTTGGCAGATGAAGTATTTTACTTTTTGTTATGAAGAGATGGTGGGACCTGCACAATGCCTAGCCACCTTTATATTCTCTTACCTAGGTATCCATTAAAGCTGAGTAAACTCTCCAGCCTTCAAAATGTTTTAACTTTCTCACTTTGAAGTCATATGCTCTAAAACTTGAGTATACGAAAACAATCCCATAATTATTATAAAATTATTTTTAAATATTGGAATTCGTATTAAAACAAATTCTTCTGTACATAAATAGACATGTCTTATTGTGCCAGTACATTGTTATGTGAAAGCTCAATCTCCATCTACTACAGGTATGGAGCTGGTGTATATTTCAACACTCTGGTCCCCATGCAGGGGCGTGTCATCAAATATGGGGTCATTAGCACAGCACGGCTCATCACTGACCTCTTGGACTGGGAGTCTTTGTACATCAGTGGCCGTCTTCACAAACCTGTTAGCCTGATTGTCGAGCCACTAAATGAGCAGCTTTTAACAGCTCTAAAGGTTTGTTTTAGATTTTTTAAATATTTTATAGGTCTTAATTTCTCCATATATTTTTGTCTAATTAAGTACTTAGTATGTATATAATTTGCTAATTTCTTCATCTGTCCTAGTAGTATTAATTCCAATATCCTCTTTATTGAGTTGCTGTTTTTTTTTTTGGGTTCTTTTGATGATCCACATTGTTGATGCCAGGTATAGGTTGTCAGTGGACCGTCCCTGACTCCACCCAGCTCTGATGGGTACCTAACTCACGTAAGGGTAAGTAAAGGAGGCTGGGCATAGTGCTGACCACACTATCCTTTCATATGCCGAGGTCACAGAAACAAGTGAACTCTACTTCACTTGCCCTGTAGACCGTCAGGTTTGAAAGGGAACTTTACTTATAGGTTGTCCTGAATATCATGAAAAAATGTTCTGTTTTCTTTAACAGATTTCTTCTTCAATAGGTAATCGTCCACTGACCAGGTTATTACTATTGTGTTGGGCCATCTACTCTCTGTGTCTCCTAATTGCTGGGTGGGGGTTATAAACAGTTAAACACACTAAGACTTAATTATAAAAAATATTCATGAATATGTTTTTCTTGACTGGCCAAAAAAGATGAAATTGCCTGACACTTTACATAAAAGCCAGCAATACTGAGATACTACTTCAAAGATTCAATAACCACATTAATCATGTATTTAAAATTTATGAAGGCAATGAAATTTTGATGGCCTCAACAACTTTACCTTTATTATTAATCCTACACACCAACGACAATTTTTATTCCTTTATAAACTTTGGTTAAAATCTTTCTGTAATAAAATAAATCCTACACACTCGGCCACCCTTGACAATTTTTATTCCTTCACAAACTTTGGTTCAAATCTTTCTGTAATTAAAATAAATCCTAAAATTGTTTTGAACAGGTGAACTTGAGAAGTGCTTTCCATGCTGCCCTGCTACTTTTGCCAGATATGTTTACAGAGGTACAGCTCTACTCCACCATAGCGGGTCTGTCCTATGCTGGGGACTTTAGGATGAGCATTGCTGAGGACCGTAATAAAGTAAGTTCATGATCAGAAGTGCAGGCAGCCACTCAAATCTTTTCATAGTTAATACCCCTTGTATTTAGAGAATTTATTTCCTTTTACAATCCAGCAAAAGTTACAAGGTTTAAGTAAAAGATTAACGTGCCTGTGTTTTGGTTAGGTCTAAGATAGCGGTCTAAAATCCAGTTTTAGCTCCCTTCTTGCAAATACTGTGGTTTAATGGCCAGCTACTAATTATTCTCTCATTAAGGAAATATTTTTGTAGAATTACATGCCATTTAGCACTCCTACTGCATTACATTGTTGTCTAATAGCCAGCTAATTGTGTAGATATGTTGGTCTAAATATAGTGGCTTAAATTTTGTTTTTTAGCTCCCTTCTGCTAATATTGTGGCCTAATGTCCTACTGTTATTCTCAAAATTCTGCAGATATTTTGTTCATAATGTCCCATTATTTAGCTCCTACCCTGCAAATATTGTGGCCTAATGTCTAGCTAATTGAGCAAATATGTTGCTCAAATGTCCCACCATCTAGCTGCTACTGTAAATATATTGTTCTATGTCCATGTTTTGTTGCCAGGTTTCCAACATTGTCAAGCCAAATCTCCAGCTGTTTCGCAGGATGTATGGCCCCATCATCATGGAAGAAGAACACCTGACCTGGTGGCAGCCAGAGGGTCAGCTTGAACAAGCCTTGACCTTTCACTCCAGACACCACCACCTCAAATGTTTACCTGGTCAAGTGCTATATGGTTTGCTCATGCAAAAATATCAGGTTTGTTTGTTTAAACATTTTTCATAAAAGATTCTTTGTATTTTTGGTAAACTGGTGTAAGGCATTTATAAATACATTTGTATTCCTTTCTTCTTTATGGACCAATATCATGATTTACTGAGAAGTATTCTCTCCTCTTCAACCCATGTCATTCCAGCTTTCTTATTATTCTTTTCAACTGATCTCTTCATGGTTATGTTTGTTTTTTTTATTTCTGGGTCCACCTTACTCTTGTCCATCCATGGTGCTGTGTGGTTTTCTATTCATATACAGTTGTCACTAAAATTTTATAATTTTTCTTTTTTAAAGTAAAAATCTAAATAATTTTCTCCCTTCCTTCCAGGTAGGAGTATTCCCTGACCTCGAAGAGATCATTAAACTTCACGCTTACGACTCCGAGTGTGGCAAGCATGTGGCAAACAGCATTCAACGAATAGTCAAGAAATCCAGTTTGACCCAGAGCCTCAAGGGGATATTTACTGCAGGGCTTTTCAAGTCTATCAGGTACTCCATCAACAAGGTGCTCAAGAAAGTCAAAAGTATTTGAACCTTGGCTTGGGTAGGTTTATAAAATAATGGCCATTGTGTCCAGATTGGTTTGTTTTTCTGAATCAGTTACAATGGTAATATTCATTTTAATTTATTGATTATATAAATTAAATTCATTCATAAAAAACTTTGTTTTTGTTATATCTTTGAAAATGGCTTATATTTGTAACATGGTTGTTCTCTGCAGAATACTATTTTGTTAAAAATTAAATAAGACCCTTATATAATTTTAGATTGTGTGCTAATTACTTACAAACCAAACTGGTCTCAGGAACAGTGAATAGTATGTTGGTCTGGTGACCCCACAAATATTCTCAATCTCCAAACAAAACTACTTCATTGTTTAGCATCTTTTTGTCTATAGGAATGTTGTATACTTTTTTTTCTTCATTTGTGCATTAATGATTCAGTTGTAAACAATTGAAAGAAAAAATATGAATTTTTAAACTAACAAATTGAATTTCAAGCAATAAGTGAAACTTTATTAACACGAAAAAAATAATTGACAAAAAGTAAAAAGATGAGTGGATATATTTTTAACTCTAATTTTAATCAACGCTTATATCCTCTCCTCTATGTACATCATAAGCTCAGACACATTCATTTTTTTACACAGTAAATACAGGAACATGCACTCACAACAGTCATTGTATCTCACTCAGTTTCATGCTGATAATGCAAACTGATTCAACTTTAAAACAATATTACATATTAAAATAAATCAACTAGGCAACCTAGATCTAACTAACCCATGGATTTAAGAAGTGATCAGTCGTCAATCTAAGCTAAAGATTGTCCTTAGCCACAGCCACATTATAAATGCAGGTCTGCGAGCTTCTATTATAACTTCTGGTTTTCAACAAGTATGGAAGCATGCTGTGTGAAGACACCCTATTGGCTGGTAAAAGGATATGTTAAGAGATTCCATTGGCTGATCACAGGATGCGTTAAGAGACTCTATTGGCTGGTAATGAGCTCCACAATGCATTGAATGATTTTACTTCCTCTAGGGCAGGTCAACAGGTCCATGTCTGGCTGTGAAATTTTATCAGACAGCAGTTGGTCCAGTTCATATCTCAAGTCTCTTACCAGCTCCGCAACCTAAAAGTTACAAATGATTTAAATCTAGTCAATATATTTTTAATCCTGGATCAAAAATAATTTATTTTGAGAAAATACTTCAGTAAAATTGTAATTTATTTTGGTTGACCAGTTCTCTAAATATTTTGACCAACCCTCCCGCCCCCTCCCCAAAATTAGTTGACCAAAGTACGGCTTAAGGTTGCACAGGTTTATTAACTGAGGAGAGTAACCCAGAGAAAACCCCAAACTCAAACAAATTCTGCTTTGTATGGAGGCAAATACAGAAAGAAAAGCAGGCTCAAGTCTGAATCAATGGCGCATAATGTTAACCTCGTAATGGTGTTGGAGGAAAACCCACTCCAATATAAAAATGAAGTACAAAGAAGTTCTCCAAATTTGCTCGGAAAATGTTGATCAAATTTATTAACAACCTCACAAGAGGAACTTATTTCTAGATGAACAAAACACATTTTAAACAATTACTCCTCGCATTTAAATCTGACCCAAAAAATGCAATGTTGATCAAATGTATTAACAACCTCACAAGAGGAACTTATTTCTAGATGAACAAAACACATTTTAAACAGTTACTCCTCGCATTTAAATCTGACCCAAAAAAAATGTACAACTACTAACCTGTGGTGAAGAAGCTATAAACTGGATCCATCCGTCATCCACGGACAAGACAAAATTACCCTGGTGTAGATCTATGTGTATCCCACCCCCACCAAACAACAGTAGTGGATAGACAGACACCATTGAACAGTTGCGGATAAACACCTGTAGAAACAATACATTTTGTTATCAGGAGGAATTGAAAACTAAAAATATATTCTATAATATTTAAAAAATTATATTAGATGGTATGTAAAATGTAATTTAATAAAAAGACGAGCCTTTGAAGTTTTCACTTTCTCGTGGTAGACTAGATAGGGGCTGGCAAAGTGACGGGCTTGGAAGTTTACTGAGGTTGGATGGATGTAAACCTGTAGAAGTGATAAGTTCAAATACTTTTTAGCTAAATTAAGAAAACAAAACCAAAAAAAACAAATATACATTTTTTTAGGCCCAATTTAGTTTCGTAAAATAACTTGAGAAATTGAAAGAAAAAGTAAATACAAAAATACATTTCATAAATGCAATGAAAAATAATTAACAAAGAAAGGCAACTTACATAGCCATCATACTTGGTTTTAAATCTGAAATCTTCAGGGTTGGGTGACTTTTGAACTGATCCTGCATATTTATTTTAAAAATAGAAATGTGAATCATGTGTTAAATAAAAAAAACATGGGGCAATGGTAAAGCAGTTTGTTTACCATCTACAGACTTTCAATAACAGCTGTAACACACAGCTTATGTTAGAAAACTTCCACCCAACAATATTTTGTGGCAATGAATGTTTCCAACGCCTAATGTCTCAAATACGGGGTCAGTTTATAAATCACTGAATATATTTCAATGTTGAAGGAGATACAATAAAATCGTTTAAGACAAATCAAATTTTACAGAATTAAGGATAAGACTTTTAGAGTTTACATTAACATATCACTTGATTTGTCAAACAGATTGATGGAAAATCTAACATCAACTACTTCAACTAGAAATCTCACTTAAACATTTTAATAAGTCTCACCTGAACTGCTTTGGTGGTCTGAAACACAACTCACTTTAATTGGTCCAACAAAAAGTCTCACTTTAAGTGGTCCAACAAAAAGTCTCACTTTAAGTGGTCCAACAAAAAGTCTCACTTTAAGTGGTTCAACAAAGTCTCACTTTAAGTGGTCCAACATAAAGTCTCACTTTAAGTGGTCCAACACAAAGTCTCACTTTAAGTGGTCCAACAAAAAGTCTCACTTTAAGTGGTCCAACAAAAAGTCTCACTTTAAGTTGTCCAACAAAAAGTCTCACTTTAATTGGTCCAACAAAAAGTCTCACTTTAATTGGTCCAACAAAAAGTCTCACTTTAAGCTGTCCAACAAAAAGTCTCACTTTAAGTGGTCCAACAAAAAGTCTCACTTTAAGTGGTCCAACAAAAAGTCTCACTTTAAGTGGTCCAACAAAAAGTCTCACTTTAAGTGGTCCAACAAAAAGTCTCACTTTAAGCTGTCCAACAAAGTCTCACTTTAAGTGGTCCAACAAAAAGTCTCACTTTAAGTGGTCCAACATAACGTCTCACTTTAAGTGGTCCAACAAAAAGTCTCACTTTAAGTGGTCCAACATAAAGTCTCACTTTAAGTGGTCCAACAAAAAGTCTCACTTTAAGTGGTCCAACAAAAAGTCTCACTTTAAACTGTCCAACAAAAAGTCTCACTTTAAACTGTCCAACAAAAAGTCTCACTTTAAGTGGTCCAACAAAACGTCTCACTTTAAGTGGTCCAACAAAAAGTCTCACTTTAAGTGGTCCAACATAAAGTCTCACTTTAAGTGGTCCAACAAAAAGTCTCACTTTAAGCTGTCCAACAAAAAGTCTCACTTTAAGTGGTCCAACAAAAAGTCTCACTTTAAGTGGTCCAACAAAACATCTCACTTTAAGTGGTCCAACATAAAGTCTCACTTTAAGTGGTCCAACAAAAAGTCTCACTTTAAGTGGTCCAACAAAAAGTCTCACTTTAAGTGGTCCAACAAAAAGTCTCACTTTAAGCTGTCCAACAAAAAGTCTCACTTTAAGTGGTCCAACAAAAAGTCTCACTTTAATTGGTCCAACAAAGTCTCACTGAGTCTCACCTCAGCTGCTCTAACAAAGTCGCACCTGAGCCCCTCAAATAAAAAGTCTCACTTTATGGGGTCTCACAAAAAGTCTCACCTGAACTAGTTGAGCTGTAGCGTATATCAGGTGTCAGTACATGAACAACGTTGGGATACAACGCAGCAACCAAAATGGCGGACAGCAGCTTTGTGTTCTCTGAGTTGACATTAGCCTGAGGATTAAATGTCAGAGTTGAGGATTTAGATGTCAAGTTGACATTAGCCTGAGGATTAAATGTCAGAGTTGAGGATTAAATGTCAGAGTTGAGGATTAAGATGTCAAGTTGACATTAGCATGAGGATTTAGATGTCAAGTTGACATTAGCCTGAGGATTAAATGTCCGAGTTGAGGATTACATGTCAGAGTTGACATTAGCCTGAGGATTAAATGTCAGAGTTGAGGATTACATGTCAGAGTTGACATTAGCCTGAGGATTAAATGTCAGAGTTGAGGATTTAGATGTCAAGTTGACATTAGCCTGAGGATTAAATGTCAGAGTTGAGGATTACTTGTCAGAGTTGACATTAGCCTGAGGATTAAATGTCAGAGTTGAGGATTACATGTCAGAGTTGACATTAGCCTAAGGATTAAATGTCAGAGTTGAGGATTTAGATGTCAAGTTGACATTAGCCTGAGGATTAAATGTCCGAGTTGAGGATTACTTGTCAGAGTTGACATTAGCCTAAGGATTAAATGTCAGAGTTGAGGATTAAGACGTCAAGTTGACATTAGCCTGGGGATTTAGATGTCAAGTTGACATTAGCCTGGGGAATTAGATGTCAAGTTGACATTAGCCTGAGGATTTAGATGTCAAGTTGACATTAGCCTGAGGAATTAGATGTCAGCATTTAGATCAAATAACTGCTCATTCATACTGTTTAAACTGGTGCAGTTCTTTGTTGGGTTGTTATTGACCATTTGTGTTGTTACCAGCCCTAAACTGCATTTTTTAATTTATTGTTTAATATTATGCTGACTGTTGCATTGGCAATTCATACTTTTCTGTTGCCTACTTTTCATGTAGTAAATTTGTTATCTCTGACTTTGATATAATTTTTAATGCTGTGTTTGATGTATAGCCTTTCTTGTTCAGAACAAGACTGGAAAAAAAAACTGACCTCTTCCCCTGTGACCTTCTGGACACCATCTGACCCCCCTCTAGCAGCCCTCTCTACATCTCTCAGCCTGATGCCAGGCCGGATGAAGCCAATGTCTGACAGTAACTCCACATACTGCTGTTTCAAGCTTGCCAGCATCTAAGGGAAATAACTTTCAAATTTAAAAATGAATAATTTTATTTTAAAGCTAATGGCGATAATGCTTTACACAAAGTGAATCACATCCAGGTGGGATAACTCTTAACTTTTTAAACATTAAGTCACACGACTCTTGAGTCAGGAACAATAACTCTTACCTCAAGAGTTTTGTAAGAGAGAAAATTGTACTGACAATACTGATAAGCTTGATGTGTGTTTCTCTTCTTTGCCTCTATCCAACCCTAGAAAGACATTTATTAATGCCACAACTGGTATATTAATACATTTATAATACTGCTACATTCCTGCAATATATGTTTTCTTGACCATTATAATTTTTAAAAATTGACTCAATTTTAAGATTTATAAATGTTGGTCCTATTATTAATAATAATTTTTAATTAATCAAAAGATAATAAGGAATACATTGACAATAAATTTGGCACTCGGGTTGGACTAGTAATTTTTTCTGTTATAAGTTATGATACACCCCCTCCCCCCCTTTCCATGTAGTTACTAAAATAACCCACTGAATTTCCAAAAATATCAAATATCTAACTAAAAAAAAAAGTTACTTATTCAGAAGAATTAAAACCACTAAACTCTACTTTACCCTGATCATCAGGGACTAGATTCACTAGCAAACAGTAAAATCTGAAGCTGTTACCTTGTAAGCATTCAGCATGGTGAGGTAATCCGAGTTGCAAGTAGAAAAACTTTTCTTTCTTTCATCAGACTCTTGCTTCATACCAAAGGGAGAAACCTAACCAAGGAAACAGAAAGTTAAATGATAATACTATGTTATGGTTAAGCAGGCAGAAAGTTAAACAACCATTATGTTAAGCAGGTCTTGTCAGTGTATTAGAGTTAGATAAGGAGGAAATATGATATTACATTGTGTTGTACTGATGATTCTTGTCATAAAAAAAATGAAACATCTTCATGTACTACAACACGCACACATTACATAGAAACTACCATGGAAGATTTGTTTTTGTTTTCTAGGAATGTATGACAAAAAATTTGGACGGTTTAGAATAATTATCTATTTTGTTAAGAATTGATATTGGTGATTAAGAAAGAAGATACTGGTGTTTAAGAAAGATGATACAGGTGTTTAAGAAAGATGATACTAGTGTTTAAGAAAGATGATACTGGTCTTTAAGAAAGATGATACTGGTGTTTAAGAAAGATGATACTGGTGTTTAAGAAGATGATATTGGTGTTTAAGAAGATGATACTGGTGTTTAAGAAAGATGATACTGGTGTTTAAGAAAGATAATACTGGTGTTTAAGAAAGATGATACTGGTGTTTAAGAAAGATGATACAGGTGTTTAAGAAGATGATACTGGTGTTTAAGAAAGATGATACTGGTGTTTAAGAAAGATAATACTGGTGTTTAAGAAAGATGATACTGGTGTTTAAGAAAGATGATACTGGTCTTTAAGAAAGATGATACTAGCATTTAAGATAGATGATACTGGTGTTTAAGAAAGAAGATAGATTGACACTGGCACTTACAAAAGGTGACTTAAAGCTAAGAGTGGCAGCTATGGTCAGTGTTGAGTCCAAGCATCTAAATATAGCACCAAACAACATCAACTTGCCAATTCTGGGAACAAAAGTAAACAGTTATAAACTAATACTAAACAATTATTTTTTATCAACATTTCTTGATATACTGTTTTATAACCTTCCTTTTTGCATGGACCTGACTGAATTTATTAATGTTTTTATCACCCGTTTGAGTTATACATACAACAAAGGTTTTTCAAAAAAGCAAAGTGCCAGGAAAATGGTATAATGGATTTCAAGACATATGACCTTTTTTATATTTCAAAGTGTGACCAATGTTGTTCATGGGAAAAAGGGAGATCAAACTTTTCCATGGGACAAAGGGAGATCAAACTTTTCCAACAAAGGGAAACCACACCTCTTTCTACGATGAAGGGAGACAACACTTGATGGGACAAAGGGAGATCAAACTGATCTGTGGGACAAAGGGAGACTAGACTTCTCCTTAGGACAAAGGGAGACTACACTTCTCTATTAGACAAAGGGGGGACATTGCATCTCCATATAGAAGATATAACTAATATGGCTGCTACAGTGAAAAAAAAAATTTTATTTTTCAAAAGTTGCAGCATTAAAATAAAAAGTTTAAATTAGACCTTACCTGACATCAACAGGAAGTGACCCCACGTGGTAACCCAAAGGTGTCAGAGTCTGAGGTGTACAGAGAATAAGATTGTTATAAACACAATTTGTCTGGCTACAATGGACATTGTTCTAAATTTTATAACTAAGTCAAATGTATAGGGGGTCATCCATTTATGACGTCCACACGGGAGAGGCGGGGGGGTCAGAAAAAAATTGACTTTCGCGGACGCATGTGTACTTTTAAAGGGGAATTAAGTGGATTTTTGTGGACGGTGGGTCCAAAATAACAAAAAATTGTGGACGTCATAAATGGATGACCCCTAGCTGCAGGATAAAAAGTTGAAAGTGTTAGAATTTTAAATGTTTGGGTCAACAAACACTACAGTTTAATGTATTTGAAAATGTCATTTTTTTATCGTAAAAACAGTAATGTTAATTTGTTTGTAAAGAAAATTGAGTCATAAACCTAAAATAAATAAATATAAAAATCAAAAAATAAACAAGTTATCAACGAAAACGTCAGTAGTGTCTTACAGCCTCCTTGTCCAGCGCCCCAAGGTCTGTCAGACGCTGGACAGCTCCACAGATGGCATCATCAGACGGTGGCTCAATCAGCTTCTCTAACACATGCTGCAAGGAGACGCATTTCATTGTAAAACTCTGTACAGCATGACAGAACAGACTTTGATGAACTTATTCTGCTCATAATGTAATAAATACAAATGGCAGCTGCATGACTTAAACTTAAGCGCTCAACACATGTAAACTAACATCAAGCAAAAAAAAATTTCTTTGTATAATACTAAAAATGTAAAAAAAAAAAATTTCTAGAATGAAACAGAGAAGGACATATGCAAGTTAATCTCTCTCTCTCTGTGACCATTCCCTGTGTTGGATGGGTTAGCATGAGAAATACTTTGTCACCTTAACCCCCCATAACTGATATCAAGCACACACCTATATCATATATCCCAGAAAAAACAAGACACAGCTGGTACCATCAGATGGCCTTAGACACACCCTACTGACACAGACTTCAGTCTAATTTATTGCTTCATGAATGCCATCAAGATTTGTTTCATTAAAACACTGCACTCCTGCTTTTTAATTTTTTATTTTATATGACTATTTCAATTATTTAGGAGAGTTGCTAATTAATTATCCCATCTAGTTAAAGAAAATTTTAACCAACCTTGACCTCTTGATCTTTGAAAATGGGCAACATTTTTATTTTCAACACCAGCTGTTCCAGACAAGCTCTTTGGATTTCTGTGTCAAAATTCAAGTAAGAACAAAATATTCAAAACGTTTAACACACTGGTCTAGACATTAAGGCACGTGTTTATCGCATGCATACATCTAAACTTACTTAACTACATTGCCTATTAGGCTATATTCTGTGTAGTTCTCTTAATTCTTACAGTGCAATATGTCTTTTGGCAAGGACCAACTCAAGTTAAATGCTATAAATATCTATGATTAATAAATTATGAAACAAAATATGACCAAATTACCAAAAAATCTGGCCAAAATGACCAAATCTGGTAAGGTAACAAAATTTTTGTTATAATATTAAAAAAACAAATGGAAAAGTGGCAATGTCTCATAAATAAGTGACAAAATTTAACTCATTCACACAAATCTGCCACAATGAACTAACACAAACTTGAAGATTGTAAGCAACAAATTTAAAAAAAAACCTGCCTGGAATAGGTTGTTCTCTCAGGTGGTAGTTGAAATGATGGGATGTAAATAAGTGGAAGCAAACACCCTCTTGTATGCGCCCAGCTCTACCTTTTCTCTGTAGGGCATTAGCTCTGGACACCCAGACAGTCTCTAGGCTCTCCATGCTCTTCATCTGGTCATACCTGTGGTCAGCAGACACATTTTTAGACTGCTGCTTTAAACATTTTATTTTTAGACTGCTGCTTTCAAAATTAAATTTTAGACTGCTGCTTTAAATATGTTATTTTTAGACTTTAAACATTTTATTTTTAGACTGCTGCTTTAAACATTGTAATCATTTGTTACACAACCAGTAATCTCAATATAAAAACAGAGAACTGACATGACTAAATATTGTGGGAGAATTTAACAATAACAATGTTTTACTAAGGTTTATTTTTTTAAGCATCTAACCTTTTCTCTTTCATTTTTCCAACATCTATCACATAAACAATGTCATCAATAGTGATGGAGGTCTCTGCAATGTTGGTGGCTATAACTATCTTTGTCACACCTTCTTTGGCTTTGCTGGCAAAAATATTTTACAAAATGTTACAAAAATAAATATTCATTAAAAAAAATTGTATCTCTTATAATTAATTTTTATATGAGCGAAAAGTAAAAATATTTTTTAAAAATTGAAGTCATAAATAAATTCAATCAATTTTAATGTTTAAATTTTCCCCCAAGACTTGAAACAAAATTTAAGAGCTATGTAGTCTTTTTATTATGAAAGCAAGTATATTTTATGAACTGGCAGGCCACATTGGCTTTTGTGTGACCAATGCAGGAAAAAATGTTTGAATTTAAAGACTTACACAAAAACTGCATTCTGTTCATAAGAAGATAGGGTTGAGTGCAGAGGTATGATATTATACCTGAAACAACAATTCAATAAGTCAAAACATTACTCAAACATTTTCTAAAATTCTCCAATTTCAAGACCAAAAAAAACACTATCTAGTGTTCATCTAAAACTTGATTTACTTAGATTGTCCAAACTCTGGCGATGTCTTTATCATGTCATAGAGGGTTTGAATTTCAGCAAACCCTGGCAGAAATATCAATATTGCGCCTACATCAGGAAACTGAAACAAAGGATAGTGTACTCTATATAATTAGAAAAAGTTTCTGGGAGATTAAGTAATTTTTTAAAAGAAAATTTTTGGCTTAACATATACATACTAGTCATAATTTTTTCAAAGAATTTGACAAGAAGTTATAGTTACATGTTACAAAAAGAAATGGCCGACATTGAAAGAATTGTTTTACCTCATGCTCTCCCGACTTGATCCAATGTAAGAGTAGTATGATGATGTCATAGTTAATTTTATCCATGTCTGTCTGGTGCAGAGCTTTTATAGTGGATTGGCTGTAATCTACGAGAATATAATATCATCAGTTTTAACGGTGGATTGGATGTAATCTGAGAGATAATTATATCATGGGCATATTTTAAATAGTGGATGGATGTAATCTAAGAGGCACTAATATCATCAGTTTTAATTGGGTAGGATTTTATCTGAGGGAACATTACATCATCAGTTTTAATGGTCAATCTGGAAGTAATCTAAGATATCATGGGGGCACAGCTTACATGTTGGATTGGAAGAAACAGAGAAAATAACAGCGCAGCATTAATTTAAGAAGTGACAGATTAAAACAAAAACACAAGACATACTTTTTATTTGTTGGCTATATTGTAGAATGCAACAAGTCTTTATTAGATCATGTGACTGTCACATGACTATCACATGACTATAAACAGATACCCCCCCCCCCCCCCCATAACCTACCTGGGTATCGCATCTGCAGCTGTGCAGTTGTCAAACACATGTCAGGTGACTTGTCGCTGGCAGGTCGAGGAGTTGTTCCGTCAGACTCCAGGTCATGATCCCAGTCCTCCTCGTAAGCATCCAGCCCTCCCCCGTATTTCTGGAATCCACCACGGCCACCCTTAGTTGAGCGAGCGTAAGGGGACTTTTCTTCCAACTGGTACCTAGGTATAATCTTTCTCATTAATATTTGTTTTCATGTTCATGATTTCTTATCTGTTGGCTTACTTTCTTTTTTCTACTCTCTGTTCCATATTTTATACTGAACAATCATATCAATGTTTGTTTTGTTTAATTATTTTTTTTCTGTATTCTATGTTTTGTATTTTCCTGTTTTGAAATTATTCTTACTTCTCCAAGTTTTAACTCCAATGTGATAAGCATATGTTTTTAAAAAATTATGAGCTTAGTTATATTATGTTATTATTTTTAAAATGTTCATTAATAAAACTTTACATCTAGAACTAATGCAAAACATTGTGATCTTAATTTTCTGTAAGTTACACACAGCAGCCAACCACAAAGCAGGATAGACCCAAGTAATTTATTTGGACAACCTGGACTAATTTGAACCTAAACCTTCGGTCAGTCACAACGCTATCCACCAAACAAACAGCTCTAAACAAAATCCCATAGTTTATACCTTATACAAGCAATTAGTTCCTGTTCGTTAAACACTGACTCACCCAGTAAATTCAATCACATCCTCCAGAAAAAACTGCTCAACTGGGAATGTCCTTCCTGAAAATGTCATTAAAAGAATGTGACTACGGGTACAAAACTAACATTTTTTTAAAATGTCATGCTTGAAGAAATATTTTTAACAAATTACAGTAAGCTTACTAGATCCCATTTATAATCTATTTAATTTATAATAAACTATAATAAGCATTTTTTACTTACAATTTTACTGTTTCTAAAAGAAAGGTCCACATCTCCACCCCCAACGCCACATCCAACTTTTCTATGTCGCAGTAACACTTTTTCCATATCCCAGCCCCACTTTCCCATATCCCAGTCCCACTCTTCCACATTCCAGTCCCACTCTTCCACATTCCAGTCCCACTTTTCCACATCCCAGTCCCACTCTTCCATTTCCCAGCCCCACTTTCCCATATCCCAGTCCCACTTTCCCATATCCCAGTCCTACTTTCCCATATCCCAGCCCCACTTTCCCATTTCCCACATTGCCATCCCACTTTTTCACATCCCAGCCCCACTTTCCCATGTCCCAGCCCCACTTTCCCATATCCCACTCTTCCACATTCCAGTCCCACTTTCCCATATCCCTGCCCCACTTTCCCATATCCCAGTCCCACTCTTCCACATTCCAGTCCCACTTTTCCACATCCCAGCCCCACTTTCCCATGTCCCAGTCCCACTTTTCCATATCCCAGTCCCACTTTCCCATATCCCAGCCCCACTTTCCCATATCCCAGTCCCACTCTTCCACATTTCAGTCCCACTTTCCCATATCCCAGCCCCACTTTCCCATATCCCAGCCCCACTTTCCCATATCCCACTCTTCCACATCCCAGTCCCACTTTTCCACATCCCAGCCCTTTCCCACGTCCCACTTTTCCATATCCCAGTCCCCCTTTCCCATATCCCAGTCCCCCTTTCCCATATCCCAGCCCCACTCTTCCACATCCCAGTCCCACTTTCCAATATTCCAGTCCCACTTTTACACATTCCGGCCCCACTTTCCCAGACCCACTTTCCAAGATCCCAGCCCCACTTTCCCATATCCCAGCCCCATTACACCAACAAGCCTTTAACAGCAGCCTCACCTGGTATCTCTAGAACAGGGCAGCCACCAAAGTAACAAGAAAAAAGATTAGCATTCATAGTGGCACTCATCAGGATCACCTTTAGATCAGGTCGCTTGACCAGCACGTCCCGTAAAATCATCAGCAGGAAGTCACTGCATAAGTGGTTATTAAAAAACTTTGATCAATTGCTGTTTTGTGTTTTAGCATAAGTTTGAAATATTGTCTACATTAATGCTAATATCAAAACATCAAAATATTAAAATATAATATATGATATACAATATCAAAATAAAAACTAAAATATATGAAGGTTTTTGTAAATTCTAAGTACTATGGATTATCAATAAATCAAGCAGAAAATTTTTTAGTTATTTTTTTTTCAAACACATTTCAACATAGATTATTTTCCTATAACACTTCATGCACCAGTTTTATTAATATTATTACATCCCATAAATCATTCACTCATTAAAATGCCATATAAATCACCAACTCACTAAAATCCTATATAAATTATACACTCACCAAAACATCAAATAAATCATCCACCCACCAGAATACCATATAAATTATCCACCCACCAGAATACCATATAAATCATCCACCCACCAAAATACCATATAAATCATCCACCCACCAGAATACCATATAAATCATCCACCCACCAGAATACCATATAAATCATCCACCCACCAGAATACCATATAAATCATCCACCCACCAGAATACCATATAAATCACCCACCCACCAGAATACCATATAAATCATCCACCCACCAGAACACCATATAAATCATCCACCCACCAAAATACCATATAAATCATCCACCCACCAGAACACCATATATATCATCCACCCACCAGAATACCATATAAATCATCCACCCACCAGAATACCATATAAATCATCCACTCACCAAAATGCCTCATACATTAGCTTATCCATTAAATGCCTCTACAATCGATGGATTCCATCCAGCCAAGCTCCGCATCCATCTCACAAGCCTAAACACTAGCCCAGACCAACCTTTCTTCAGAGCGCTCATGCACTTCATCAATGATGATGTGGCTGACCCCTTCCAGTTGGGGGTCAGCCTCCAGCCGCCTCAGGATTATTCCTATGGTACAAAACAGGAGTCTGGTGTATGGAGACTGAAAGACAAACATCAGGATTATTCCTATGGTACAAAACAGGAGTCTGGTGTATGGAGACTGAAAGACAAACATCAGGATTATTCCTATGGTACAAAACAGGAGTCTGGTGTATGGAGACTGAAAGACAAACATCAGGATTATTCCTATGGTACAAAACAGGAGTCTGGTGTATGGAGACTGAAAGACAAACATCAGGATTATTCCTATGGTACAAAACAGGAGTCTGGTGTATGGAGACTGAAAGACAAACATCAGGATTATTCCTATGGTACAAAACAGGAGTCTGGTGTATGGAGACTGAAAGACAAACATCAGGATTATTCCTATGGTACAAAACAGGAGTCTGGTGTATGGAGACTGAAAGACAAACATCAGGATTATTCCTATGGTACAAAACAGGAGTCTGGTGTATGGAGACTGAAAGACAAACATCAGGATTATTCCTATGGTACAAAACAGGAGTCTGGTGTATGGAGACTGAAAGACAAACATCAGGATTATTCCTATGGTACAAAACAGGAGTCTGGTGTATGGAGACTGAAAGACAAACATCAGGATTATTCCTATGGTACAAAACAGGAGTCTGGTGTATGGAGACTGAAAGACAAACATCAGGATTATTCCTATGGTACAAAACAGGAGTCTGGTGTATGGAGACTGAAAGACAAACATCAGGATTATTCCTATGGTACAAAACAGGAGTCTGGTGTATGGAGACTGAAAGACAAACATCAGGATTATTCCTATGGTACAAAACAGGAGTCTGGTGTATGGAGACTGAAAGACAAACATCAGGATTATTCCTATGGTACAAAACAGGAGTCTGGTGTATGGAGACTGAAAGACAAACATCAAAACAAAAATCACAGATGAGCAATTAAGCCTTAATTAGTGGACCAGTTGTAAAAAAATTAACAAAATCTTTTTAAAAAAATTTGTTTACTTAACTGGCGAACACTAGAAATTGCAAAAAAATAAAAATCTGGCCAGCAGTGTAGTAAATATTTTCATAACTTGAATCATGGGATTTACCAAAGTAAATTCATGGAGCACTAATCAATAGTATATTGAAAGGACTACATTTAAACTGTTTACATAAAGAAAGTCTAAACTGTAACAAAGAACTTACCAACATATTTATAATAGCTTAACTAGACCATTATACAAACTGAAGTAAAATTAAAATAAATAATGGACTTAAATAAATTTTAACAATGAAACAATTTACCGTAAGACTTTCCAGTCTGACGTTGTATCCCACGGAGCGCCCCAGTTTCTCGGCTCTCTCATTGGCCACACGCTGAGCTACGGACATGGCTGAAATCCTCCTGGGCTGAGTGCACACAATGTTGGTGTTGAAATCTCTCTGCATCAGGGCAGCGTCCAGTAAAAACTGGGGAACTTGAGTAGTCTTGCCACACCTAGAGGGTCAGATACTTGTGAGTAAAATAAGTACTGATGCTTGGTTTAATAAAGTGTAAAATATTAATGCCTGCATGTGATTGTTGGCTAGACACAATAATAAGTAAAGTTCCCCGACCAAACCTGACTGTCTATGGGGCAAGTGAAGTAGAGTTCACCTGTTTCTGTGACCTCAGCATATGAAGGGATAGTGTGGCCCAACCGCCTTTACTTTCCCTAACGTGAGGTAAGTTCCGGTCAGAGCTGGGTGGACTGAGGGACTGTCTACTGACTTGAACCCAGATTAGAACTCGAGACTTGCGGGTTAGCATTCTAGCGCTACCGCTAGGCCACTTATAGAGGATCAGCAACTAACTACTATTTTATTCATATAAGCTCAAAACATAACAACCATAAGATGAGGGAGGGAGGGTTGTTCGATAGATAGCAAAGCTATTGAAGCAAGCCAATGATGCCATCTAACTGAAAATTGTTGCAACACTTTTCATTCAAGGAAAATATTTTAACATCATCCAATTCTTCTGGCCTATTGACAGTCAGATCCAAAAAGGTTCACATTACCCCTTACAATATTAAATTAGCAGATCATGAGGAATGAGAAGACAAGACATTTTTTTAAAAACACGGCAGCATCCCTGTCACTCACCCTGTCATCCCACTGATGACAACAACTTGGTTGCGTTCGATGACCTCTAGCACCATGTCTCTCATTTCCCAGGCGGGGAGTCTCTGCCTCTCCACCTGCATGTTCTGGTACTGCTTGAGTCCCTGCCACAACAAACATTTGGGTTGCAATCATTATATACATCTTTTAAAAAGTAAAAAGATCATGGACAGATTTCAAGGAAATTAAAAAAAACTACAACATATCTTCATGAGATTGAAAAAGATAAACTGTATTGTTTTATTTGTTTCCTTTTTTTTTACTTTGAATGCATCAGAATTTCCCAAACATAGACAGATCCAAAGAAAATAAAACAAAACTACAACAAAATATATTTTCATGAGGTTGAAAAAGAGAAACTTTATTGTTTGATTTATGTATCCGTTTTTTTTTTACTTTGAATGCATCTGAGTTTCCTAAACCATGGTCATGATTGTAAGAGTCAGAAAACACTAATATTACTTTTTTAACCTCAATGCCAGTCTATTTTAATGTATTCAATTGATACAGCTATAACTGACACTTTCTAATTATCTGAGAAGAGTTCAGTGAATATGCTATAGTCCTTCATTATTTTTTATGTTTTCTTTGAAAGAAAGTCAGCATAAAATATAACTTCTTTGACTAAAGAGCTGATCTAGCACAATTTAAAACTTATATCTATGAAGATGAAATAATTTTAAAAAATAAGGATAACTAATGCATAATCTTTTTAAAAGACAAGTAACTCACTTTCTTCTGCATGAATTCCTCTTGAAGTATCTTGTTCTGACGTTTAATTTCAATGGCATCGTACGGCTGCACACTTTTCTTTTTTAGCTGAGCATACCCTTCATGTCTCTTTTGGACGTCGTCATTTTTTGGTTGGCCGTACCGTTCATTTCTCCCAACATCCTGATCTCTGTTGAACTGTCTGCTGGCCAGATTTTGTCCACTGGAAGACTGGAGTACTGTGAGTGGCCAGGCGGGCTTTGGTGGGCTGAACAGCTTGGATTGTTCTATCGTGACAGGTCTGCTGATAGCAGGCGGGGGCAGGGAGACTAGCAGCTTTAACTTATCTACATCCTCCAAGGCATTTACAATGGTAAAAATACAGGGGAGATGACATTCGGCTGATTCTTTGGCCACTGACATCAAAAACTGAGAAATATTAAGGCGGGTGTAAGCTGGGAACTCTTCAATCCTAGAAGAGAAAGCCAGTAAAGGTGGTTCATAAGGGTACTTGTTCCCTGTAGGAAACCTAATCTCTATACTGAATGGTTTGACTGAATTAGCGCTCTCCAAAGCTTTGAGATTAGAATATATAGGGTGAGAAAGTTCCGCAGACCTGGACACATTATCAACGGGCGCAGCGTGCGAGTACCGACACCTGTCCTTGAACCTACACTGACCTTTAAAATAAAAAGGACAGAGTTTTTTATCTAACCGTGTACCGGCATTGACCACTGGAGATGCGAGGTTAACCGTCTCCACCAGCTCTGGCAGCTCTAAATTCAACATCCAGGTTCTGTTGGGAATTCTTTCCTCAAAGTCAGCATCATATATAGACTGCAGCGCCATCTTCTCTTCCTCCCTGGCTTCCAGCATCTCCTCCTCAGAGAAGTCTGGGGTGCTCTCAGTGCTGCCTGTCACCTTGAGACTGTTGTTGAACAAATCATTGAGGAGGTACTCCTGCGCTTCACCTGCATCCCAATCACAGATCTGAAGAGCTTCTAGGCAAAGGTCTGAGCTGAAACCACAGCTAAACGAAATATAAAATACAAATATGTTACTAAAACATTGCATGGAAACAACTACTGTATACTTGACATTCTGCTAGGTTTGAGTTTAATAATGTGCATACAAATCCCAGTCCCACTCTTCCACATCCCAGTCCCACTCTTCCATATTCCAGTCCCACTTTCCAATATCCCAGTCCCATTCTTCCACATCCCAACCCCACTTGCATCAATTTCTAATTGTGTATGACCAGTTGTACATACATCTGAGTATAAGTCTGATTAAGAATGATTGCGTAAAGTAACTGTGTCTTAAGTTTTTTCTTAGTCTTATTTTAAACCATTTAAAAATGTACAGCGATTAAAAAATTTAGCAAAATGAAAACCAAACAGCAAAAAAAATACCTACCGTTGAAGTTTTTTTATCGCAAAGCTATTTTCTTGACCAACTGCCTTCACGCTTCTCTCCCTTTGAACATCCGAGTTGAACCTAATAGCATCCTGTACCTCAAGAGTGTGATCCGTCATCCAGTAGTCGTTATCTCCCCTATAATCCAGCTCGTCATAATTCTGTTCATAATCAACGCCTACATCTTCTTCATCACTGGAACAGAAATGGTAAGTCATGACACACAACATTTACTATAGTATAGTACCCCTATATCACAGAAGGGGATGAGCTTATCTATCAATATAACGAAGAAACAAAAAGATGGTGTTACTTTTACAATCCTTTATTTTAAAGGATTTTTATGCTTAAAACTTCTACACTAGCTAACAACAATAAAATAAAAATACAATAACCGGAGACTGAAAATACAAGATTATACAACTATAAATTGGAGAGACTAAAAATATTATTGAATTAACAAATATGTACAGAACATAAAACTGACTACTGTTCGCAATAAGATTGCAACTTTTAAAAACTATGACACAGTTGAAAAGACCAGCCACACCTGTCTGGCACCTCTCTACTATACACAGACTCCAAAGTTCTCCGGACCATTTCCTGGTTCTCCTCACTCATGAAGAGTCGCTGCATCTCAAGCTTGACCTTTGGCCCTGAACCTCGACCTCTGGCACTGCTGGTGCCGCTGAATGCGTACCTGTGTCAGTTAAATGTTAATTTTTTATTTTTTTTATTTTTACAGTGACTTGCAGGGAATGAGTTTTTAATCTAGATTTCAAACAAGAGTTGAGAACAAAATGGATGTTGTGTCTATTTTTTATATATAATGCTTAATGGGGTTATGGATATGTTACATTAAGTTGAGGTTATGTTACATTGGGATGGGGATAAGTGTCTCAGGGATGGGGATAAGTGTCTCAGGGATGAGGATAAGTGTCTCATGGATGGGGGATAAGTGTCTCAGGGATGGGGGATAAGTGTCTCAGGGATGGGGATAAGTGTCTCAGGGATGGGGGATAAGTGTCTCAGGGATGGGGGATAAGTGTCTCAGGGATGGGGATAAGTGTCTCAGGGATGAGGATAAGTGTCTCATGGATGGGGGATAAGTGTCTCAGGGATGGGGATAAGTGTCTCAGGGATGGGGGATAAGTGTCTCAGGGATGGGGATAAGTGTCTCAGGGATGAGGATAAGTGTCTCATGGATGGGGGATAAGTGTCTCAGGGATGGGGGATAAGTGTCTCAGGGATGGGGGATAAGTGTCTCAGGGATGGGGATAAGTGTCTCAGGGATGAGGATAAGTGTCTCATGGATGGGGGATAAGTGTCTCAGGGATGGGGGATAAGTGTCTCAGGGATGGGGGATAAGTGTCTCAGGGATGGGGGATAAGTGTCTCAGGGATGGGGATAAGTGTCTCAGAGATGGGGATAAGTGTCTCAGGGATGGGGATAAGTGTCTCAGGGATGGGGATAAGTGTCTCAGGGATGGGGATAAGTGTCTCAGGGATGGGGGATAAGTGTCTCAGGGATGGGGATAAGTGTCTCAGGGATGGGGGATAAGTGTCTCAGGGATGGGGGATAAGTGTCTCAGGGATGGGGATAAGTGTCTCAGGGATGAGGATAAGTGTCTCATGGATGGGGGATAAGTGTCTCAGGGATGGGGATAAGTGTCTCAGGGATGGGGGATAAGTGTCTCAGGGATGGGGATAAGTGTCTCAGGGATGAGGATAAGTGTCTCATGGATGGGGGATAAGTGTCTCAGGGATGGGGGATAAGTGTCTCAGGGATGGGGGATAAGTGTCTCAGGGATGGGGATAAGTGTCTCAGGGATGAGGATAAGTGTCTCATGGATGGGGGATAAGTGTCTCAGGGATGGGGGATAAGTGTCTCAGGGATGGGGGATAAGTGTCTCAGGGATGGGGGATAAGTGTCTCAGGGATGGGGATAAGTGTCTCAGAGATGGGGATAAGTGTCTCAGGGATGGGGATAAGTGTCTCAGGGATGGGGATAAGTGTCTCAGGGATGGGGATAAGTGTCTCAGGGATGGGGATAAGTGTCTCAGGGATGGGGATAAGTGTCTCAGGGATGGGGATAAGTGTCTCAGGGATGGGGATAAGTGTCTCAGGGATGGGGATAAGTGTCTCAGGGATGGGGATAAGTGTCTCAGGGATGGGGATATTATATGCAATCCAAAATATACTACCTGGGGAAAAGTGCCATATGTTGACCACATGCAACAAGGCTAACTTTGCCCTTTATCATTCATTTGTAACATTTACACAAGTTGAAAAATCACTTTTGTACCGATAAAAAAAACTATCCTTTTCTTAGGAATAACAAAAATTCACTACCATAAGCAGAAACTGTTGAGCTCTATCCCACCCACACTTTTGATTCTGTCTCGAGTGTCCAAGACAACAAGTGACCTACCCCTGATGATTGGAGCTCGTGTTCTTAGCTGCTTGGTGAGGATTCGAATGTGGGACATTTACAACTGGCCCATCAAGAGAATCATCAATGTCAAGGCCACCTTTTCTTGATGAAGACCAACCAGCTTTTGCACCCTTAACTTCATTGCTTTCTTTTATCAATCCCCTTCCTTTAGAAAAAAATAAAGGTTAGGTAACTCTCTTTAAACATCCGGTATTTTAACTAAATAAGCCTACTAATAAAAACACTTGAGAAAAGAAAATTACCTCTGCCACCTCGACCTCTTTTATTGTGTCTCCCTCCTCCTCTGTTAGGTCTACCTCTCCTCACACTCTCCATACTCAAACACTTGTTTAGCACATCACGACGGGAAACTCCAGAGCTTCAAAGGATTAAAATTCAATCAATGGGGACACTGAACTCACATCTGTATGCCAACAAGAAACTGACAATACAAACCTTTCACACAGTGCTTTGAAGAAACATTCTTTGCCTTAGTGTCTATGCCTGCCTTAGCTGGCAAACCAAAAATCTGGCAAACACTAAATCTAATTAATAATACTCAAATTTGAGTTCTATTAAAAGATGCCAGGCACTACACAACCTATCCGAGATAGCTAAAAGCATTCATTATTCCACATTTTATTTTCTTTCCATAAGTAGCACAAAGCTGAACCCCATGTTAGCATGAGATCAAAGATATAATTTTTCACTTAACACATCAGTATCTGCTATTCCCATCTTTCTCATGTCATTAGTCAGTCATCCTTTATCCCCATTTCTTACAGGTTTCTCATTTTCATATGTCAAATAGTGACAAGATACTAGTGAATACCTTAAATTTTAACTTCAGTTTCACTGGGTTTTGCTGCAGTTTTTCTTCAATGAGGGTCAACTGGATTCACATTTGCTCTTGATACTTCCAAAATGTTGTGTTAACTATTAAACTGCTGAGAAATAAAAATTAATTCTTTTAAATTTAGGCCTCATTCTTTACTCAGTGTAAACCTTAATATATAATATTCAAGTACATCATGGGCCCATGTCAGTCTTCATATTTATTAATTAGGATCTAATAAATAAATAAAAGTGGAAGACTTCCTTCTATATCATATAGTACAGACTTTTGGATATACTGGAGTAGAGAGACAGAGAGAAATATTTTTTTTTATAAGTGATATCATCTCTATCTGTACAGAAGTTATGATTATCTTTTTCCCATTCTTTTGTCAGGCCTATACTAAAATATATTAGGCCTAAAAAGCTACATAGCCAAGTTACAAATATCCTCTCTGTTATGGTATTACTGTATTATTATACTTTATTATCTCATATTTCCCCCCCCCCACTTCACCCCTTTGGAACTCCATGTCTTCTTTGTGTCAACTGCTTGCTAGTCTTCAATGTATCCCCCTGTGCCCTGTTGTCAAGAAAAACATTCCCAGCTGCAGCTAGGCTGTGACTCAGTGAAAACTGAGTAAATGGTGTGTTTTATTTTGGGTGTGGGGAAATTGCGAGACGCGAAAAGCGAAATGGCGAGGCGGGAAAATGCGAGAAGGGCGCGAAAACGGTCGGTCACGTAACTTTTTTGTCTCGCATTTTACCACAAGCCGATACTTACGCTGGGTGGTGTTGAAATGCGAAGATTTCTGCGAAAAATTTACCGCACCCGATTTTCAGTGGTATTTGGTCCAGACTTCAAAGACGTTTCGTTTACATTGTTAAAACTTCCGATTTTTCCGTCGCTAGAGATACTGATGATTTGTCAACTCTGTCTTTTGTGTGGAACGCAGAGGCCGCCTGATTTACCGTCTTTGAAGATCGCCGTGCCTGGATCCGCTGCCGCCGCAAACATATTTTTTACCATATAAATCTAAGCACAAGGAAATGCCTACATCATTTGGATACAACAAAATAAAGTGACGTCACCGATATTATCAGTTGCTCGTGCTATATCGTAAGCTATGGGCCTACTTCAAATATTTTTAAAACCAAGTTGAACTTATCTGAATTTTTTGGTTTTGGTGGTGGTGTTATTTGGGGTCTTCCATAAATGACGTCACACTCGTAGGGGGGGGGGGTCTGTAATTTTATGACCATGTGTGATGAGGGGGAGGAGGGGGGGTAGATGTGAAGTCACACTATAAAAAAGCAATGTTAGAAAAAGAATTTTAGACGTTTTTTCGCGTTTTAGAAAACTGTTTTAATACATTGTAATAGGAATTGATTAAAATACTTTATTTTGACCGAAATTAGACAAGATTTTGGGAAAATATCGATGTTTTAAAAAAACTCAACTGCTGGTGACAACAATGAGCAAGACATTGCCAAAATTACAGAAATGAGAAAAAATACAAATTATAAAAAACAGAAAACAGATGTTGAGCGTGCGGATGATGATGATGAGAACATGGGTGCCAGTGTTGTTTGTGGGATGAACGAGGAGGTCAACTGTGATGAGAATGTGAAATGTTGTGAATGTGGATTGGAAGAAGTAGCAAAAGAAAAAATGTATAAATGGGAGTCTAATGAACTGGGTTGGGTGTACTATGTGTGAAAGATGGTGTCACGAGGTGTGTTTGAGGAGTGTTTTAGAAGATTTTGTTTGTAAATTTTGTTTGTAATTAAAATTACTCAATAAAAAAATAAATTGCACTTTTTAGAATTCTTTATACTTTTACACTTTTTGCAAGTACAAAATTCCATAAATAGATGTTGCAAAATATCTCTCCTGCTGACAAGACTATACCAATTCACAATGACACAGCTCACGTTTGTATAAACATGAGCGGGCTAGATTTTTAAAATTAATGCCGACTGAGACGAGATTTTCCTCTCGCTAACAAGAGCGGGCGATGACAGTAGCACAGCAACGATGTTAGGATTTTTAAATAGATAGATCTAGATATAGATCTATCTATCTTCTTAGTATCTAGATAAAAAATAACACCATACAACACTCGTGTTAAAGGGTATGGTTAAATGCTTGTTCATTTTAAAAATATTTTTAAAAATAATTGAAATAAATAAAGATGAAAAAAAAAAAGAAAAAAACTTTTTTCGCAAAAAGTGTCTCGCTATTTACCCTTAATTCCGCAGGTATGTCTCGCATTACCTTCTCGCATTTTCCCGCCTCGCCATTTCGCTTTTCGCGTCTCGCAATTTCCCCACACCCTTTTATTTTAGCCTCAAATAAGCTAGAACCATCAAATTTTGTGTATGGTCGATTAGAGATATATAGATCTAGATCTATCTCTAGTTTTCATTTAAATTGTTTAATTTTTTAAAAATAAAATTTCGTAAGAACTGCTAGATCTAGATTCTACTGTGTTTCAGTACAGTTGTTTCAGGATTGCCGAATGGAGTGGAGGAGTTGAGGAATTTGAATGAGCCACACGACCACTGATGCCGTTAAGCCGTTAAGCTAATATGGCCAAAATACGAGATTTAGAGATCTAACGATAAACTACCATAATACTAAGAAAGTGGATCTATAATATAAAATAATAAATAGACAGCCAACAACACATCATAATTGTTATAAACTGCTTTTAGTTGTTACAACTGACGTTTTTACCCAGAAACTATTATTGTTTCACTTTCAACCATTAGCCTTTAGCAGTCTAAAAATCGAATGCTTGCATCATAACTTTCGCATTTTAAACAAACACAAATCAATAATGTATTAATATTATCGGGCTACAAATTTCCGGTTTTAACATAACTGAGATATTGCACGCTACAGGCCTACATAGAAGTAAGATTCATCATGTAAAATTAAGATGTTTACTTTTAAAAGTTTATTTTCATTGTATGAGATGAATTGGAAACTCGCTGAAGTTGAATGCGCAAAACTATTAGAACTGTGATACAATGATAGCATACATTTTATTAATTTTAATAAATTATTCTAATACATTTCTCTGGTTTGAAAACGATGAATAAATAGTTTAACGTGTTTTTTACATTATTACGCTATCATTCCTTTTTACTTTCTCGTATACAGAGTAGAGGAAGTATTGTAATCGTGCATAAAAATCATATGAAATTTTGACAGTTTGCGTCGTTTTCAACCTCAGTACTTCATCATATACGGAGTATAGGTGACTAATTTTAATGGGGCTAAAATTACAGCTAGGTTGATGGAATTTCATATATAAGTATTATATCAAATTTCTAGTTCTGTATCAACTTTTCAGATATTTCCGGTAACCGGGAGTGGCACTTATTCTACTTCCGGTTTCTCAAAAGCCTATAACTGATTACTGCTTCAGTTAGGTAGACGACATTTCACGTATACGTATAAGATCTAATTCTCTAGTTTCTGTCAACTTTTGAATTATTTCCGGCGACCGGAAGTAGCACATGAATTTATTTTTAACTTGATTTCTCTGTCTATCGTCCGTTACGGTCAGAAACTTGCGAGCAAAATTTCGAACACTTCTACCGTACCGAGTAATTTTAAACTTTTTACGTAGGTCAAGACTCTATAATACAATGTATTGTGACATAAAATGTTACCTAATTAGATGATTAATTTACTGTTTGTAAAATAATCAAGGTTTTTTTAAAAATAAAGTACAAATGTTCTGCATTGTTATACACACATTGTTTGCTGTTCGTTTGGTGTGCAATTCGTTTTTTTACGAGATTCGATTCTGTTTTTGAAAATTCAAGTATTAAAAATTGATTCCAGTGCCATTCCAGTGCCATTCCCCTTAGTGATATTTAAGAATATTTCGAGAAAGTTTAGGGGAGATCACTCACGCTTTTTTAACTTGAGGCTACTTGTACAACTTAAAAAAAAAAAACTATCAGAAACTATTTCAACATACAACACTCATTTCTAAAAATACTAGATAAGAAAGCATAAGTCAAGGAAACAACTTGTTGTGATATATTCAGTGGCGTAGCGAGGTCGGGTGTCACCCTGTGCGGCACTTAATGGTGTCAACCCCCAGAGGCGTAGCGACCCTTCCCGGCGCCCGGGGACAAACTTTCAATTTTTGATTTGCACCCACCCCCCTCAAACTTTCCTTTTTGCACCCCCCCCCTCCACCCTTGTCGGGATTTGTCGAATTTGCTCTTAAAAGACTTTTTAACACTCGAATTAATCACTTAATTAAGTGGAATTATCATTTTTCTCTATATATTTTGCTATTTTTTGCTTTGGTGTCACCCCTCTAAATTGGGTCACACGGTGCAGTCCGCACCCCCCCCCCTCGCTACGCCACTGGATATATTTCTTGCGGCTTAAAAAATAAAAAAATAAAGCTCCCCTAAACTTTCTTGTATTATATTTAGGAATGAGGTAACACTGTACAATCGGGCTGTTAAAATAGTGGAGTTTAAGACAAAATCGCTTCTTTTTTTAAATCGAGAAAATATATAGGAGAAAAAGTCTTAAAATATGTTTTATAAGAAGTAACATTGTCGAATTCTGAAAGTTTTTGAATAATCCGGCTCACGTTAATCGCTTAATAGTTTACATAAATCTACATCCTTAATTAAAACGGTACTCAGGTTATCGGTAATTTAGAAATCGGAAATAGAGTAAAAGACCACTACCGGATATCTGAGAGCATTTTCATTCGAAAGAACATTATTAATGATTTCGAACTAAACATTGGACAAATGCAGGCGTCATTCGGAGAAAAAAAACCTTCCCTTTAATGCAGAGGCGTCTCGGGGAGGGGGGGTGCGGCCCGCACTGGGTGACACCATTTAGGGGGGTGGGGGACACCAAGACAAAAAAACTGCAAGATATATAATAGAATAATTATGTTTTTGCCAGTTCAATGAATGGTTACCATGACTTAAAATGCAAACTATAGAGAAGACAGTGTTATACCCAGCTGTATTAACAATCGATTATTAGTATTATGTGAACAACTGTTCTAACCCTTACTACACTCTGCTACATTCTACAACATCTCATCTATAGTATTCTCCCCCACTCTGTGCGGGGTACTGTTTTGGTATATTGGGTGTGTATTGTGTCAGTCGAGAATGTTGTGTCGCAGGCTCTTGTACTACAGGGTGTGGAGTATCAGTGTGGGGTTTTGTTTGGTGTTCTTAGTGTCGTGCGGGTTGCGGTGGCGTGTGTTGTGCACGGTATTATCTCCCCTCTGCTTTTCTCTCTACTTTAATTTTACTAAGCGCAATTATTTGTTTTTAATCCAGTGACAGTGTTTCTTCCAGCATCGCTTCGGGGAGATTACCCCCCCCCCCCCCCACCCGCAGAACAAAATGGAATTTATATAGAAAATATATACTTTTAACAATGTCCACCCCCCCCCCCCCGGAAATTTTAGTCCGCCCCCCCCTCCCCTTGGGGGAAAAGAGTCTGGAAGAAACATTGGTGACAAATCATAGACACCATCACTAACGTAAACTTATACGCACTCGTAATCGTACACGGTTTCACACGTGTATCACGCACGCACGTACACATGCGCAAGCGTATCCACATGCACACACGCACATGTCAGGGGCGGAACTACCAACCCGCTTTCCGCCTGACCCCGCAATGCGGGCGGTCCCAGGCCGTTTAGGAGGCCAAAATCCGACCAAAACAAAAACTTAATTCTTGTCATGTTTTCCGTGGTGGTTTTGAAAAAAAAAAAAAAAAAAAGGTTTACTATGGCAATGATTGTTCTTCATAACGAACACACACTGTGACGTAGAAATTTTTTATTTTTTTTAAATCGACATGATCTGTAGTGTGAAAGATAGGCTAACGGTTCACAACTTCCAAAACTTATTGCCCTTCTTTGAATAGTTTAATAGGGATGCCAATAAAGTAAAGCTCATTTAAATAGTTTTATACTAAGTAAAGTTAAAAAGCAATTGCTTCTCTTTATCATTATTCAAATAAGACATACTAAAGTATGACATAGCTTTAGAAGTTAATAATATAAATACAAAAATAAAATCATAAAAATAAACAGAACGCAAGAAACCATTACTCTAATTTTTTTTCTTGGTGTCACCCCCCCCCCCCTAAATGGTGTTACCCGGTGCGGTCCGCTACCCCCGCCTCGCGATGCCTCTGCATTAGTCAAACTTCCATGTTTATATACTTTTGACCGAATACTTAATCTCAAATATATCTATTCACAATTTTCGGCAAACATGATTTGTAATTAGACGTTTTGTATTAGATCTATGTATAAGTAAACCATCGTAAATGAATGAAAGGAGTCTACAATTAAGAAAGAAATATTACTATTGTAAATCTGTATCAGTCCTCATAAGCCGATGATGAAAACCGTAATACTAAAGCGAACATGCAAGGCAAACTGACGCTGTAAATTACATGTCTGAGGCGAAAAAAAAAACACTTTTAAAACACGATTATTTCAGGTCCGAAATGAGTTTGGACATATTTTTGTTTGGTTTGTTGTCTTACAATGGATATACTTTGCAATGAAATATGTTAAATTACTGAATTAGAGAATAGATTGTTTTAAAATGTATTGAGGCAGGCTAATATTTATATATATGGGGACCCCAAATACTTTTTTTCGGGGGAGCATTTTTTTTTTAGTTCCGCCACTGACGCATGTACGCATACATGCTTGTATGCTCACGCACACAATATACGCATGCACATTTTAAATGTAAGAGCAGTTTCAAAAAGTTTCAGAGTTTTGTTGAAAAAGACAAATTGCAAACAAGGACTATAACCAGGTTTCATTGGAGACTGAAGGGACGGACTACGGAGTCTTCAATCCCTCGTGGTCCATTACCGATGGAGTGGATAAGTTTCACTCTTGGCAGTTGAGTTTCTTTCAGGCAACTTTACGGAGGATTGCATCACCCCCCCCCCTATCCCCGCCACTACCTGCCCAACTCACCAAGCACGTTCACTGCTTACCTTTGGACGGAATAGAAAGAAAAAAACCCATTAAATTAGTATTTAAAATGTATACTTAAATCGTTGTTCACCCCCCCCCCCCCTCCCCAAAAGTTCCCTCCGAGAAACACGCCTGAAAAAAAAAATCCTGCATCCCCTTTTTAGGGAGTTGGTTTTCTATATTCAAGTTCGACATAGGATGTCGATCGGCAGATGGATCAAAGTGTCGGGACTCGAACTAGCTGTCAACAACAGAGGCGTAGCGAAAGGGAGGTGGGGGGGGGGGTGGTACATATGTCCCAGGGCGCCGACCCTAGGGGGCGCCAAAATGGGTTGGAACAAAATTAAAAGCTCATTTTAGCTGCAGTTTTGCATTATAAATATAAAACATATATGGGGGGGGGGGGGGGCGCCAAATTGAAAGTTTGTCCCCGGGCGCCGGGAAGGGTCGCTACGCCTCTGGTCAACAACACAGCTCGGATCTAGTGGCGTCACTAGGTCGTGTGTCACCCGGTGCTGTCACTGGGGGTGGCACCCCCACCTCATCCTTTTTTTGTTTGGTGCCACAGTAAATTTGACAAATTTTGGATTTGGTGCCACCTTTTAAATGGTGTCACCTGGTGCGGACAACACCCCTCAACCCCCTCCTCCCGCCCCCGCCTTGTGCCGCTACTGCTCGGACTTGGTAGCGACGACTTGCCGTCCTTGGGGGTCACGCTTTTTCGGACGATTTTTACCTCCCCCCTCCCCTCCGTCACACATCGTCACAAAAAGCCAGACCCCCCCCCCTAAAATGACGTCACACCTCAGCCTACAACCCCCCCCCCCTTCAAAATTGCAGTTGAATTTTTCTTAAAACATCGATATTTTCCCGAAAATCTTGTCTGAACTCTGTCAAAATAGTGTATTTTAATCAATTCCTATTGCAATTTATTAAAACAGTTTTCTAAAACGCGAAATAACGTCTAAAATTCGTTTTCTAATATTGCTTGTTTATAATGCAAAAGTCTGACCCCCCATCGTCACACACCGTCACAAAATTACGGACCCCCCCCCTCCCCCCTGTGAGTGTGACATCATTTATGGACGACCCCTTGAGGCAAAAATTGAAAGAACATTACTGGAATTCCTCTTACCTCTACGGACATGCAAGGATTATCTATTTCTCCCCACTCTTAACCTCCTCCATAATACACTTAAATACAGCACTATTTCTTTTTTTTTTTTTACAATACCTTCAGATATTTTGAAGTATAAGCTGCATTACCCCCTCCCCCTAAAATTTATTTCAAACATCTCTTCGGCGAGGCGGGTGGGGGGGGGGGATGGAGTGCCCCCAAAGCTCGTCTACCGCCCCCTCCCCCTTAATGAACGAAAAGGAACTTACATAAAATGTAAGCCTATATATGTTTACAATGTCCGCTCCCCCCCCCCCTGGAAATTGTGTCCACCTCCCCCCTGAAAATTTCAAGTAACCCCTTTTCGGAGAAAAAATCTGAAAGAAACACTCCCCTGAAAACGCCTATAACCAATTGATCAACTCCCACCCCACACATTTTGAACGAACCTCATTACTACTTTTGTCTGTTGAAAATGTCATGTGACCTTGCAGTGACCCTCTTGGTTCACTAAGCTTTTTATCACCACTCTCAGATTAAATTCATGGCAGCTCAAAATGACCGCAATTACCATTGTATTTTACACTAGCCCACGGCATTTCCGGTTTTCAAATTCATGACCTTGAAATAGTGCAAGGTTAATGTATAAAATAATGTATTCTTGGGAGATTTGTACACATTTTGAGTGATGATTAGTTTAAACTTCAAACTGTAGAGAAAACTTTACACACTGCTGTGTAAGTATCAACACTGATGTGTGTGGACAGTGGACACATGAGACCATTAATTAAGCACGTGGACAGCGTGTCATTCCATTAGCGGTCAGTCAGATGTCACGTAGATTATTGGCTGAAATGCGAGACAAACTTACCTAAAACAAAAACTCTCCATAGCTTCTAAGGTATTAAATCTAGATCTATATAAATTTTGACGTATTTATTACATAAACGAGTGAAGGTTTAAAAAAAAGTATCATTTATCTGTCAAAAGTGAAAAGGATCATAATGTAGGTTAGATATCAGATTTCTATTTTTGATGATCTGGTCTGAATTATTTTATTACTTTTGACCTTTTTCAAACGCGATTTTCGACTTAAAGTTTAGCTGAATGTTTTTTAATAGGCCTATGAAGGAAAATTCTAAACTGTTTAATTTCTTGCAATGATAACTTCTTTTTTTTTTAAATGATCAAAATTAAAATAAAAAAATCAACAAGCTGCTAATGCGCTCAGACACTTTTGGAGCTCTTGCATCGCAGCCGCGCCCCCTAGCGAATTTTCATTCACGAGTGGAGTGTCCACTGCTTGCTACTTCATCAATATCACAATGAAAACATGGCGGTGATACAGTGTTGTGTTGATCCGGCTAGCAGACTAGAAAATTCCGATAGGAAAGTAATCTCAGCGTTTTATGCCCTGTAAGTTACAATTTTAAGTGGTGGAATGATTTATGTAAGTGTTGTTTAAGTTTTCTTTTTAATGTATTCGTTAGTTACCAAACGGTTCGTATCCTGCATCACGTCGGCAACTAACTTTTAGAAAAAGTCGCCCGAAGACCGTATTCTGTACCCGATTTTTGTGGTATATAGCCGACACAGATGTCGAGTGCGATATTGATCGGTCTGCGCTGAGAGCTGATTGATTTTTTAATATAATGCTGTCCTTCGTTCGTCTGCTTTAGGCATCACTGGACATATTTCGGCTATTTCTGCTTGTAAAATGTAAGAAAAAGATGAATGTTTTTGTTTTCATTCTTACATGATCTGGTACTGAAGATTCTGGCCCTTGCTTTTCATAATTTTACTTTTTTTCAGATAAAAATCTAACTAAATGAACTTATCAAAGACGGTGCCTATGGGCCTAGCCTAGGCTTAATTAGGCTCATAGTAATTAATTAAATATAAAATAAGCCTAGTCACTATGCCCCAATGGCAATTCAGTTTAGTTTGTGAAGTAAGCTGAACCAATTGAAGAAAAAAAAACTAGTCTAGGCCTAAGTAAAGTAAAAAAAAGTTTATAAAAAACTAAAAAAAACCCAACACATTATGGAAGGTGCTAATCCCCAGTATTCCAGTGTGTTTTGCTAGATAAATTATTAATTTAATATTAAGTTAATACAAGATCTGGTACTTTTAGCATAGGCAAAGAGTATATTAAGTGATGCTACAAGTGTCAGACAAAGGCTATGATGAATTCTTTAAAAGATGGGTGTGTTCGGGTCAGAAATTAAGGTTAGGGCTAAGGGTGGGGCTTGAGTCTGTGTTTGCAAAAAAAAATATATTATCAACAAATTATTGGTAGACCCTATTTATTTAGTTTACTACAAAAGTAACCTGAGGTGACTTTTTGATGAAGAAACTATTGTTGAAGCATAATCAAACATGATTTATATAATGAATATAATGACACATACCCCCCAACCTAAACCCACTAATAAGCAGGACATTGCTATCGCCAGTGTTTCTCCCAGACCTTTTTCTCCGGGGGGGGGGGGGGGGGGGGGGCACTTGAAATTTTTGGGGGGGGGGCGGACACTGTTAAAAGTATATATTTTCTATATAAATTTAATTTTGTTCGGGGGCAGTAGACTTTCTTCGGGGAGGGGGGGGGGGGGGGCAGAGCTCCCCGCAGAGATGGCTGGAAGAAACTGGCTATCACTTGGTCGTTCACAAAATATTTGATCAATATTTCATATAATGACATATACATATTTTATTATCTCATTTAGTGACATTTTGTTTTAGGCCTGCTGACTTTAATTGGATTGACATGTGGTATTGTTATACCAGGGTCTGATAATGGCACAATAATGGAATCTTCTTAAAAAGGGGTGTTAGACTAGAGTGGTAGTTAGCTAAATACAAATATGAATTGCTAATTTACCCTATACCAAACCTTAACCCAAGTCCCAGCATAAATAGCTTTAACCCTAATTTTCTGACCATATAATTAAACTTGAGATTACAATACTTTTAACAGCCTAGCACACCTATTTTCAAAATTCTATTGTCAGACATGGGTAGTACCAGTACTCCAGCATGTTTTTTTTTTTGTAGGAGGATTGTGCATAATTTTCAAGACTCAAGCTAAAAATTAGTTTTTATAATAACAATAACCTTTATAATAATTGTATTTATTATATATTCATAAAGTCCCCATCATGGTAATATAATTCCCAGTTCTCTAGAGTAGTTCCTATATAAGGTTAGAAATAAATAGTCCTACACAGAAATGGAAAAAATACCATCCGTCTTACTTATTATATTGTGTGTCAACACTATACTGAATACTGCCATACTTTTATTTGTCTCAAGACTTCGCCTATTGAACATAAGTTTAAAATATTTAAAGGTGTTTAATCACTGTTGATGACAGTACACAATTCCTTTGGTTTTAATTTTAATTCATGCCATGTTCTCTTTCACCTCAAGTGATTGTTCAAAAATGGACATACTTATTGGGTTTTTTTCTGGTACTGAACATTAATACATTATCTCAGAAGTAAAATTTCACATTTGTAAGGCTATGGTTAGCACTTTAAAAATGTGATATTTATAAAATAATTATATTTCAAAAATGTATTTTAGTTTTCCTAAATTTATTGATTTATTTCACCCTCGTCAGTCTTCATAAAATTAAAAACCTAACAGTAATGTCAGTCTCACACCTTAGATCCAACAGGATCCTGCGTTAATTTTATTTTTGCAGTCATATTTCATTACATGTTGATCAAAGCCTCCTTCTGTTTATCAAAGCCTAAAAAAAATTAATGCACAGCATTATAGTCTTTTTTTTTAAATTGTAAAAGGCTTCATCTAGTCCCCCTGGAGAACAAATATCACTTTTCATAAAGTAATCAATATTTATTGATTTTTTTCTGAAATTGTGTGGCTTAACAAGCTTGCAATTCTGAGCTTGTGTCTTAAAGATTTTGTTAAAGTATTAGAAAAGGACTCCTTTCTTTATGCTTGTTATTAAATACTGTAATGAGCGAAATTTATCATAAAGTCTATAGTAGCTAGGTGATTTAGAAGTATGTTGTTTTGTCACTATTTTATCAGCCAGTTTTAGTTAGATGAATAGCATTTGAGACTGTTTTCTTAATGTTTTAAGGGTCAATTGTGGCTTTTTTTAGTGGCTCATCTGGCATTTATGGACCTACTAGTTCATGGTACTGTTTTTCCAATGCTGCAATGGATTGTTTGCTGCCTATATATATATATATATATGTATATATATATATATATATATATGTATATATATATATATATATATATATATATATATATATATATATATATATATATATATATATATATATATATATATATATTACAATAATGGTTTTATACATATTAATGTATAAAACCATTATTGTAATATATATATATATATTTTTTTTTTTTTTTCATATAATATAAACATTTTAGAATTTCTGTTCATTGAACTGAATTTCTTTTTTTAAAATATGTTTATGAATTGAATAGTTAAAGCTGTATAGTTTTATGTTGTTATGGTGAGATGTTTACTTAGACAAAATGAAACTTTTTAAACTCTGCAAATGAAAAATAATTTTTTTTTCTTATTCCCCCCCCCCCTCTTTGTTTACAGATGAGCATAGTTTTTACAAATAGAATAAATGACATTTACATAGTGTTGTTTACATAGTTGCTAAACTATGAAAAACAAAACAACTTCCCAAGGGAGCCCCGGGCGTGCCAGCTCTAAAGCACCAGGAAAACCCCCTGGAAAAGCTGTCAAGGCTAATGCCCAGAAAAAAGCCACAGCTCAGAGATCCCCTTTGAAACTAAGGGCCAAAACAGAAAGATGCATATCTAAACGGACCAGGGATAAATCACCGAAAGCTGCTCCCAAGCATGGTGGGTCTACATTAAGTTCTGAGAAGGCCAAATCTCCCAAGTCACCAACATCTCCTAAAGGCAAGATGAAGAATTTGACACAGAAGAGATCAAACGATGTGCTGAGAGGGGCCAAGAGCAAAGCTTTGGCAAAGAAAAAAGCAGCCTTGAAACAAAAGGACATCAAGAAGAAGCTAAAAAAACTCACAAGCTCTAATAGTTTTTTGGACTTTTGGGGACTCACGGTTGTTGGGAAGAGAGAGGCAAGTTTAAATGCGAGCATGAAGGTGAATATTATGTATGAAAGGAATGTGCCCCTTAAGCCGGCTGTTAAGGCTCAACCTAAAAAAGCTACAACTGGTGAGGAGGGAGATAAAGATGACAAGGGAAAAGACAAGACACCTGCAACAGTGCCTTCAGAGGAATCAGATGAGAGCAAGAAGCCTAAAGTTGTTAAAAAAGATGGCTTAAAATTAAAAGAAAAACCTACCCCCAAAAGTAAAGCAACAGACCCCAGCAAGGAGAAAGCCAGCACCAAGCAATCCCCTGTTAAAGTTAAATCAAAAAGTGTTCCAACAAAACCTACAGAAACAAATAGGAAAAGAAAAAGCCCAGAGTACAAAATTTTCAAAGACGAACCCCCAGCCAAATGCAGAAAAACAAACCAGCTTAAATCAAATTCCAAGACAAAGATAGCACTTAAAAAGAAGAAGAAGAAAAAGAACTTCCCCTCTGGGCACCAGCTGAGCAATATCATTGAAAAGTCCCCAAGACAGGCCAGTCTCATCGCCAAGGCCATGATTGCAATGGAGCAGGAAGAGGAATCTGTGTTTGAATCCTCAGCCAGAACTCGGGTATTCGACTGGACAGAGCTCAGGTCCTATACTCAAGCTCCCACTCGACAGATCCAATGGAAGACTGGACTTGGCAATGCCGTTGTCAAGGTGACGGATGGTAAACCTACTGATACCTCCATCACAGCTGAGAAGGAAGAAAGCAGTGTAGGTGAAATAGACGTGAGTGGTCACCCTGAGGGTGGAGAAAATGGTGAGACACAACAGAGCACCCTGCTGAGGACACTCCACCAAGTAGGGGATACCAGGCTTCTTAAAGAATACCTGAGAGCCCAGAAAGAAGATTTCCAAGGCTCTGTTGATGTGGAGAAGTGCCCAACACCAGAGAAAGTTAAAATAGCTTCCCCAAGTCCTAAGAAAGTCACCCCTATACCCATTGAAGAAAAGCCCCAGAAGATTGCTTCCCCGGTCAAGCCTCAGTCCTGCCGAGTGGCCACCCCGATCCCCCAGTTTCCCATTGGTCAAAGAACTAGTCACATGACCAGCTACATCCATCACCCTATCCCCCAACCAGTGTATCCCCAGCAGCATCCACAGCCCATAAAAGTGACCCCCACGTACAACCCTCCAGCTTACATCTACCAATATGCAATGGACAGACAGCAAGGGGGTTTGTTTGTACCATCTAGTCCTTCACCATTGCCGTACAGTGTCAGCAGTAATGACATCAGTCATGACTTCTCTTCAACGTACACCCTCAACCATATGGGCAGTCAGATGATTGGGCGCCGTGCAGTTAATCCCTACCAGGCTAATTTTAATCCATCTATACATCTACCTGTGCAGCAAGTTGGTAAGGTTTTTCTTTTAATTCTTTTTTCTGTAGTAATTGATATATTTTATAGTAGGAATATATCCATTTCAAATCTTAATTTCACAAGTATTAACTAGAAAATATTAAACATGAAAAACTTATTTGATTATTTTAATAAACCTAAAGCTTACAGTGTATTTTTTAAAATAGGAAGTATTTTAAAAACAGTTACAGAAAAAAATATTTAAAGTTAAATTCATCTCCATTCCTTAGATTATATTTCAGTCATATTCAAAATATTAAAAAATAGCATGTTATCTTGCCACTTTTTTATATTGCTGTACAGCATATTGTTACACTGACAATGAAAAAAAAGCACACAAAAAATTTCATTGATTAAAAAAAGCTTAACATCTGAAGCCAATAGGATGGTTCATTGCACTCAATGAACTTGTACTTGACTAATGGGATTTTAATTGAAACAGATTTTACATGGTTCATTTGTTTATTGAACACATGTACATCAACAAAGTAGTTGGTGTTGACAACTTTTTATTTTTTACATCAGTAATCAAGACATTTGTTTTTGTTATGGGACTACTTCGTTAGTTATCTCTCTGCTTGCACTATGATGTCAATGAAGTTACTCCCATTTTACATTCTGATTCATTCTTGGTTACTGTCTTTGATTATAGACTGCAGTGTAATATAGGGCTGGTAAGTAGGTCACCAACCAGTTATGGCTCATGCAGGTTTTATTGAGCTGTAGTACTAGTTGGTTACCTACTTACCAGCCCTATAGTGTTGATACCTTTGTAGTTGTTAATATACTATAATCTTTTAATATTTACTCAAATCTGTAAATGTTTCTTTTGTTGTGTGCTTGCATTGATGCTATTTTTGTGACAATTTATGTTACAGCAGGATTCAACTACCCCCCTTACTACCCCGCCCCTATACAAACATTACCACAGTCCAGTGGCCCCTCCCTCCAGACTCTGCACCAGAGGTACCCCATCGTCCAGCCACAGTCAGTCATCCACGCCCTACAGCAGGACATGGGCTCCTACCAGCCCAGCTACCAGACCTACCAGCAAATGTCCGGCATGAACCAGGACACCACCAGCTGCATGCCACCGCCGCCACCCCCAGCTCATTCCCAGAGACCAAGTTCTATTGGTTCCTCTCCTATGGGACCAGCGTCCATCCCGCACCAGACCAACATTTCTCCCATTGAGTCTTTAAGATCCATGAACCCTATGGGAATCCAACCCATTGTGAAATCTCCAATGCTCGATCTAATGACGTCTGACAGACAGAACATGACGTCACACCGCCAGATGACACACCCGGTCTACAACAAACCACAGTTTTATCCCACGAACAAAGGCACGTGTTCGCCTGGTAAATATTCCATCAGCATCAACGGACTCAACACTTTCATCCCATTCAAGAAAGAAAGGGAGGAAACTCCAGAGCAAAACTGTGACTCCGTGCAGAGAAACTCGTACAATGACAATTCCCAGAAGCAGGTGAACCCTAGGCGGAGATCATCAGAAGGTTCGGACGTCTCCGACCTTCTGCACAGTGCCCATACAACCATGTATCAGATAGACGGAATGAATTCATCTGAGAGTGTACGAGAAACCCACCAGACCCAAGCCTCGGTCACATGCAATACGACCCTGCACAACAGCAGCCCAGCCAAAATCAGCATTATTGGTCACACATCATTCAATGCATCCTACTCTGTCTCATCTATTCTAGACATGCCTAGCTATAAAATAAAACCCGAGCCTGAACTCAAAGTGTGTGCAATGAATCATATCAGCCCTAGCAGTAGAAAATTAATAGACATACCACTGAAAGAAAACCTACCTGTTGTCAGTTTTGCCCCTGTCGGCCCTGAAAAAAGCCAAGAGACCCTGGAGATAAAAAAAGAAGCAACTATCAGTATTACAATCCCCAAACAAGACACTCCCATTGAATCTTGCACTCTAACCCAGCCAGATAAACCTGAAAATCCCAAACTTAAAAAAAACGAAGTCATTGTTATAGATGACACAGATGAATCCTCAGATGACGAACCACTGGCCAAGCTGGTCAAGAGCAAGTCATCAGAGGAAACCGAGCCATCAGCAGCGGATAACCCTGATCACCAGCAGCCAACAGAGCAGAAAAGTCAGCCACCTGTGACCTCCTCCCAACCTAAGCCTAAAGCCAAGCCCAAGCCAAAAGATGAAATTAAGATAAAACCTGCTGGCAAGAAAGCTGAAAAACACCCGCCCAGCGGCACCGTCTTGCCGAAAGGACAAAGTAAAGAAAAAAAACAGCCTGCCGTTAATAAATCAGACACCAACAAACGCGCAGTACTTAAAGCCCAGGAGGACAATTCTGCAGCTCCACCTGGTGTGGCTGATGAGCTCGCTAAGCCAGATGGTGAGGGCAAGGTGAAGGTCGGCTGTAAAAAATTGCTGGCCGTGGGGAATCCCAAGTCCAAGAAAAAAGTCAAAGCTGAGCCGGTTTTTCCTCTGACACCTCCCCGGGCTAACACTAACCACGGCTGGACTTGGGTTGGTGAAGGAGAGTTGAGGACCATTCCTAAGCTCACAATGGTAAGTTGTTTCTTTTTAAAAGATCTATTCTCATTTCTCACTATTCCAAGCCACTTTTACTTTCCCTACTTTAACTACTTAAAGTGTCATGTACCTATCAGGGCAGCCCAGTAGACAAGAGAGGGAACCAAATATGAGACTTTTGGTGCTATTCTGTGTGTTCAGACAATAATTGTTTAGTGTATTGTTGCTTTTCATTACCAATTGATAAAAGTAATTGAAATTTAAAAAAAAAAATCTCTTTAAACCTGGTTGTCCATGAGGCAGGTGTAGTTCACTTGTTTGTGTGACCTCTGAAGGGACAGTGTTGTCAACACTATGTCCAGCCAATTTATGTGACTCATAAATATTGCTGTTTGAATTCATGTTTAAACACTATTTGATAATTAGAGAGTCATGAAGTTCATAAATGAAAAAAAGATAAATTGAAACTTTGACCTATGTCTTGGTCAGTAGAATAAGAAGACAATGAGCAACTGAATTAGTCTTGTATTATAAAGCTTAGTTAAAACACAAGGATGTTATGAGGTGGGAGAGGGGGGGGGGTAAGTTGTGCATAGCAATAGCCAGTTCCATCACTGTTTCAGTCAAGGGAGGAGCAGGTGAGGATGAGGAAGTGTTACAAGGCTATGCAGCACACATCAGGGGAAGTGGTCTCTGTCAGAGACTGTGTTATCCTGCAGTCAGAGGGGGATGGTGCTGTCCCTTACGTTGCCAGAGTTACTGCTCTTTGGGAGAACCTCAATGGTTGGTTGTTCAATCAATTATTTCATTATGAATAAAAGCATACTTAATTTTTAAAATCTAACTTAAAATATATAATTTTACCCAAGATATAGTATTATATATAAGAATTCACAGATGCAATATTACAAATTATTTTAAACTAAATTTTTTTTGTTTTTAAATAATTTTTTTATGCTGTGTTGTTGTAGTTGTTACTATTGCGTGAGTAGCTAAATATTTTAAACAATTTTATAATAGGTGAGATGATGTTCAGCATGTTGTGGTACTACCAGCCTGAGCACACAGCTCATGGCAGGGAGCCTGAAGATGGGGAACAGGAGCTGTTTGCCTCCAAACACAGGGAGGAGAACAGCGTCGCTTGTATTGATGACAAATGTTTTGTCCTCATGTATAATGAATACTGCAGGTATAGTAGTTTGTTGTTAAAAAGTTTTGCACTTTACTGGGGTATCGACACATAGATTATTATATTTTACAGTAACTATGTAAATAAAAAACTAAAAACGGGGGAAAATCAGATAATCAATATTAATCATACTAACCAACATAAGAACAGACATATTCTTTGTCTAACTATTCTTACAGCAAATAATATCAACCGGCAAATTAACTTTGACGATATTCCCTTCTACTAGCTACCCCACCCAATATCAACCATTCAACTTAAGGGTCTCCTCTGATGTTGATTTCTGTATTTTTTGCTCCCTTATGGGTCAGCTCTCCCCAGCTAATTAGCTGCATCTGCCCAAAAGTTTGAACTATAGACATTTGGGTTAGCAATCATGTGCTTACCTGCCCGACCAATCCGACCGTTTAATTCCATCTAAATAAAATTTATTTTAGAAGATTTATTTTTCTATTTCTATCTCAACAGGTTGGAAGCGGAGGCTGTACGTCTAGAGCAGGGTGTCCCGTTACCAAGATGGCGGGCACAAATCCCAGGGATATCTGAGGAAGATAAAAAGTTCTGCAGGCCCAAACCCCCAGCCAACACTTGTGTTGAGAACATCTGGTTCTGCCGCTACGACTACGATGTCAGGAAGAAAGTCGTCAGGAAACCAAAACACAAGAAATCAAATTTGCGTTACAGAGCACCATGCAAGCTTGTTTGAACTTCCAGTCTGATTGGCTGACTTAAGTCATTTACTGTTGTTTTATTTATATAAACTTGTGTATTATGTAGGCAATTAATTTGCCTATTGCTTTAATTTTTAATGTAAAAGAATAATTTATATTTTGTCTTACAAAATGACAATGAATAGATTATATTGTATGAATTTTTACAATTCATTGTGTATCAAAATTTTAAAACTCAAAAGCTAATAAATTAAAACATAGAATAAGCTGCATATAAATGCTAATAATTCTACTTGTAAAATTAAATTTGGCTTAAAAATATTTATTTATTGTAAATAATAAGCATGATTTACTTACTGTGCATAGGTATTCAGTGCATTGTTTACTGTTTATTTCTATAGCATTTTGTGAGGTCAAACATTCACAAAGCATTTATACAAATTTTTACTAGAATAAGTGTGATGGAGGATAGAATCCTAGACTACACATTGCCTTGAGCGGTCAGTGACTGCTCTATGTAAAGGCAATGTAGTTTTCTTCATTAAATTATTGTAGCGTCCAGCTTTCTGTGCTGTAGCTTGACCTGAGTTGTTGACAGCATCAAGAAAGTTTGTAGAAACAAATGTAATTGTGAACAAAAGAACTGCCTGCAAAATTGATTGTATTGCTGTTTGGTTATTTGGCTGTGTCTGACAAATCTGACATGCGTGGTTTAGATACCATCTGACATGCGTGGGTTAGATACCATCTGACATGCTAATCTGTGGACTGATGTAGTATGATGGGGGGAACTTGTCAGATGTGTCTTGATGGCTGTGATGTCCTGGTGTTGGATGACGAAATGCTCTTGCAGCATGAATAGCATGTTTTAATATCACAGTTTTAGTGCATCATTTGTGTGGAAAATATTTACCCTCCTATCATTCAGACCCCAAATGCATGCTCCAAATAATTTATAAATTGAAAAAATGTTTTGCACTTTATAAAAAAATTCATTCCATTCTGATCAAACAACTATTTTTATGTGATTTTTTTTTTTTATATTTAAATTTTTTTTCCCACTCTGTATAGTCAAAGAAACTGGAGTCCTTTTTTGATTGAATAGAATCAGTGTCCTAGTTCAACAAAAAAATTTTGACTGGACATTCTTGATGTAAAATATCACCAAGTAACCTTGGCCCAAGCTGCTTAGGTTTGTGTACACAAGTCATGTTACTCTCAAGATCATGACTGTCAGCCATCTTAAAACTGTTGTACTTGGTCAATCTTTAGAGCAGACCAACTTTTACCTGTGTATGTGCTGTTATGTCTGATAGTCACAAGTTCAAATACTCCCTGTGCTTATTTTAACTTCATTTTTTTTTTTACTTTTATTTTACAAAAAAAAAACCCTAAATCTTAATCAGTTGTAACCATTGCTGAAGTTTACATTATTTTATTTGGCTTGGAATACTTAGCTGAATATTTGGGTAAATCATGCAGATGGTAATTGAATGGAAATGCTCTATCAAGATGTAGTCTATTTATTAAAAATGTATGTGCATAAATTAATAAGTTACCTACATGAGTTTATTGGTATATATCTATATAAATGTATATATATATTCATATTTATATGTATGTATATATGCATGCATTTATATATATGTGTATATATCTATCTATATATATATATACACACACACACATATATATGTATACATATATATGTATGTATAATGCTCCAACTGTGAGCCAATTTTTAAAGTGTGCTTCTACATTGTAATAAAGAACAGAGTATCTTATTGAAAGATAGAGATCTTCAGTTGTGTTAAATGTACATGTTTTCCATATACTACTGAAGCCTTTTGTGTAAATAATGTTTGGTGTAAATAACTTCATAATCCGGGTATTTTTTTTTCAGTCAGTGGCAAATCATGACTAAATAAACATTTGTTATGTGTCATAGACACTAATATTTGTATCAGTTGAATGGTCAGTTTATATTAACAGTGAAATAGAGTCAAACTTGGTTTCTAAGAACTAATGTATTCACAGCTGTTATAACTGAAGGAATAGTTATCCTGAGCAATACACAAAGCATTTACGACAGAAGTTTGAATGCATTTAAAAAAAGTTTTCTACCAATAGAGATGTACAGTACATTCAAATGTACTGATTATTTATGAATTTCCTTGTCACTGAAATGTGTTAATTATGTCTCCTTAGAGTTGTATATATGTCTGTGTCCATATGATGCCCCTCAGATGTGTTAGTCGACTTTTTGCCTCTGCACCAAGTTGTTTGTCTTTCAATTCAGCGTGTGATAAAACTCATCAGTCACTTGGGAGAATTGTTCCTTCTACCTTGATGTTTTCAACAGCAACCCTCACAGGCTTGCTGTGACTTGCATACAGTTGTATTAATTAAAGCAGAAACCTTGTACGTCATGCTTTAGCTACAGGTTGCTTGTTGTGACTTATATATAGTTTAATTAATTTATGCAGAAACCTTGTACGTATTGCTGTAGCTACAGGTTGATTGGTCTTTTTTAAAATGTTTTGAAAGTCGACTTAAAATCAATTCTTTGTTAACTTTATTTTCATTTGTTTTTGTAAGTAGGATAAACAGAGCCCAGTTTAGTGTTAACAACTGTTTTTTTCTTACTTCGAAAAAGCTGTATTTAAAAAATGTTTCCCTTCTTTCTGCACTTTAAATTGAAGATGTTCACTTGTCTTTATTCAAGAAAAAATTCTTAAATATATGTAGTGTTCAACCTTACTAGTAGTCTAGCATCATGGACTGACTGGAAGCTAGCTGGTGGCCCTATGGACTAACTGGGCGTTGGTCAGTGGCTCCATGGGCTGACTGGAAGCTAGCCGGCGGCCCTATGGACTAACTGGGCGTTGGATAGTGGCTCCATGGGCTGACTGGAAGCTAGCCGGCGGCCCTATGGACTAACTGGGCGTTGGATAGTGGCGCCATGGGCTGATCAAGTTCTAGTGGGTGAACACCAGGGGCTCAGTGGTCAGTAGGACTATGAAGAAACAGCCTCACCAGACAAGCTATGATGTTTGTCAGGTACTCTGTGAGGTTAATGTTGGCATCAAGGAAGTCAAGAGTGCCAGACTGATTCTAGACAATATTGTTAACAATCTTGTGCCACTCAAAAGTATATGTGCACTTTTTGTTAATTATTTATTTACTAGAAATGTTTTTTAAAACATTATTAGCAATGTTTGCATGAATGAAAGAACAAATGCAATAAACTATTTTTAAACTCCAGTTCCACAAACCTAGACCTTCTGCAATGCAGAAGTGGGTGCTTGATCAAATGTGAACAAACATAGAACTGACACGTTTTTAAAATGCATTTAAAATAATTAAAATTCCATTTATAGCCAGATAAGTTTTTTTTTACACTTATTTGAATTAAATTTCTGTAGTTATTATATTTATGAAATCCTTGTATAGTATTTTTTTTATTTCTAGCTTGTATTTATACTATTTTTGAATGATGTATCATTAAGCATTTAATTATACATAATGTGCTGGATCCACAATGGACCGCCAAATGTTGATTCTAAACCTCTTGTATTTAATTTAAATAATTTGAAATTAAAAATAAACACTTTGTTATGAAAGAAAATAACACAGACAAGGGCCCAAAATGTGATGAAATAGAGACCATGATATCCAATATAAGATGCTTCACTCATTTGTCTTTGTATGAAAGCACTCAGTAGACAATATATGTTAGGACACATACTTGAGTGAACACTTATTCCCTTCTGTAAAATTCCAAATGTATTATGCATAACTGAGATGACAGTGTAAAACTATAATCTAGTCATTGTAAATTCATTTTGTCCCATATCATATTATTAGAATACATTTTTACTCTACCTTATCCTAATACAGAGGTGGAAAAATTGGAAAAAAAACCAAGCTAATGTTCTCATAAATTTGAATTCTTTGTGACATGGATTAAATTGAAGTTAGAAAATGGGATCAGTTTTTGCATAAAGATATAGATTTCAAATCACTTCAGTTAAAAATACCAAATGCCAGCTTTTGAGGCTGTGAAAGATTTATGTGTACTTTACTTGGCTCCTTCATTTAGTTCTACCAGACATAACCCTCATCATCAACTTAAAAAAAGGAAACTAAAACTTATAGAATTTTTTAGTCATTTATTACTCAATGCAGTTATTATCCTATTAATAATTTTTCTTGTATATAGCACTTTAGCAGTACAATCAATCATAAGTTTTGTGATAATCTCACTTTTTAATTTATCTGCTTCTATTTAACAATATATCTGCTATTTTGATCTGCATCTGTCTGGTATTTGATCTGTATCTGGAATTGTCTGCTGCTTGGTCTGTATCTGGTATTTAAGTCTGCTACTTGGCCTGCATCTGGCGATCAATTCACAATATTTGGTATTTAATTTAGTTTGTTATATTTGGTATGTGTCTGGTATTTAAGCCTACTGTTTGCCCTATATTTGGTATTTAAGTTTAAGTTTGTTAAATTTGGCCTGGATCTAGTATTTAAGTCTATTTGGTCTGTTTCTGGTATTTATGCCTGCTATTTGGTCTGCACCAAACGCTTGTAGTGTATCTGAAAAATGAGTTGCCAGATATGCAAATAATAATGTCAACCCACTGTACATTTTTCCTGAGCTTGGCTGATATTTAACAGCAATAACTTCTGGTTTGATGCATAATTATTTTATCCATTATAATTTTAGTCTTTTAAAAACAAATATACACCTTTCTCTTTCTATTTCTTACTGTCTTTTTGCATTTAAATAGCATTTGTGTGCTACATTTACACTTTAATAGGTACACATTTTTACACTAGTAAAATGTGATTTTCACCCACTAGTTTTTTTTTTTTTTTGTTTAGCGACATAAGTTAAAATTTTAAATGTTTCGGAAATTAAATTTATCCTTCTTGATTAGCCATGAAATGAAAGTTAGAAAATGGAGTGTCATCCCACTAAATTATGTAGACCCAAGGATGAAATACTATTTGATTGGTTATTTCTTTATGTAGGTGTTTTGTACTAATTCTGTGTATTGTTTTTTCATAACATTAAATCGGCCCTGCCAGTCTTTAAATAGTAGACAGAATTTTAAGCTGAGGGTCCTGCCATGATTTGTTCTAACTCTGCTTTTTGAGGATCTGGCAACTTGTGACTAGGTGTCCTTACAACAAATAGTTCTATAATACTCCAGTGACCACATTGGTCATTGATACACATTAGATTTTGTTTTACTCGTAATTGACACAAGCAGTATTTGAGAATAAAATTTTTAAGTTTTTCTTCCAAATTTTATTATAATAAATCTAAACAATTTTTTTTTATATAAATGTTATTATGATTTTATTTATGTAGGTATTCTGATTCAGTTGGCAAATGTTTTTATAGACATACATTTATAGATCGCCTTTGATTGTGAAAATATATATCTATACATATATACATAATTATAAATGTGAGAAAAAATGTCATGGTATCGTGTCAGAGTGTTCATTATAAAAAATAAATAAATTACAATGTGTGTTACTTGTTTGTTTAGTTCATTTTAACTGAGCCAACCCCCCACCAAGGGGCTCACGTTGAAAAGTATGCTTTTGGTCCAACATATCACATTATATAACTGGTCCAATGAAATATACTTTATATACCAGTGTTTATTTTGACATCAGGTACAAGTAATTGAGTACAGAATTAGTACTTTCTGTCCCTATACAGTTATAGCCATGGTATTTTTTGTCCATAACAAAACCAAGGTTTTTTTTCTATACAGCATCTTACATTTTTGGTCAAGTACAGTATTAAATTTAGTCTTTTTAAAGAAAGTCACTGATGGTCTGTCTTTAATTTTATAGAGCTCTCTCATCCTTTACCTGAAATATCAACCAAAACAAAAGTTGTTATCAATTTAACAAAACAAAAATTGGTACCACGTTGTTAAGAAAAAGGTGTGTTTAACTTATAATAATTCTAGAGTGAAGGTACTCAATTTAGAGTTAGTGGTTCAAGCCACATTGCTTATTTGATCAGTTTATAAGCTTTTCACTTTTAAAAATAGGACACTAAACATTGAATGTGGTTCTATGCAATGTGAAAATCACTGAAAAAGGACATTATGCCTACTTAGGCCGACTAGATCTAGTATTAATTTATTATGCCCATTAAAAATAAGTTTATTAAGCTAATTAAAATACTATTGCTATTAGGCTTGTATAATTAATTACTACGTTAAAATAGAGGCCTTATTTTAATTAGGCCTAATAAAGAACAGGTAGGCCTACTAAATATTTTTTTAATGACATTAGTTAGGGGTCGTCCATAAATGACGTCACACTCGTAAGGGGAGGGGGGGGGGGTCCGTAATTTTGTGACGGTGTGTGATGAGGGGGAGGTTCAGATGGTGCGACGTCACACTTTGCAATATAAAAAAGCCATGTTAGAAAACTGAATTTTAGACGTTATTTCGCGTTTTAGAAAACGGTTTTAATAAATTGCAATAAGAATTGATTAAAATACTCTATTTCGACAGAGTTCAGAAACGATTTTGGAAAAATATCGATGTTTTAAGAAAACTTCAATTTTGAGGGGGGTTGTAGGCTGAAGTGTGACGACATTTTAGGGGGGGGGGGGGGTATGGCTTTTTGTGACGATGTGTGACAGAGAGGAGGGTGGGGGGGGGGGGAAGGTAAAAATCGTCAAAAAAGCGTGACGTCATTTATGGATGACCCCTTTTGATGAAGTTTTAATTTCAATATTTAAGTATGGCCAAGGCCTAATTATTTAAATTTTTAATTAGCTTGTACTTTAGTAAAGTTTTACTTTTCCATTATCTTAATATTTCTATACATGTCTTAAAAATAAAATGCTTTGACACTCGGGCCTAAAAATAGAGAATTAAAATAAAAGGCATTTAGGAGGGGGGGGGGGGGGCTATTTGAAATAGCAGTTATGCCTCTCGAACTGTTTGAAACAGAGATATGCGATTTAGTGTAAAATGTATTTTGACGTATTTGCGCAACAGGAAGTAAAGTTGTTCGTAAGAGAGGAAGATGGCGCTTGTTTTAATTTTATCAACAATAATAAGACACCCTGGATTTACGAAATGAAACGACTACAAATTTAACTTTATCCAAACGTTAAATTAATTTTGTAAAGTAGCTCAATGTCGTCGCCAAACCATAGATCTAGTAACTGCTCAACTAATCAAGATATTTCCCTAGCATTTGATCGCCTTTTTTCCTCCGTCAGCCCTATTCCTCGGCCGTACTTTGGAGTTGGGTTTCAAAATGAGTTCAGACATTTCTTAACAACAACTTCAAAGGTAGATCTAATTATTTATTAACACACATGCTATAAGAAATGTGGATTTAGATATATTATTCAACTTTAAATGTATATCTACTTAAATATTCTTGTAGTACTCAGAATTTAGTAGATGTGATTCATGATCAAAATAAAAAAAATATTTTTTAATGAAGGTCAGCCCTTTTCACAGTCGCTGAGTCAGTGAGTTGGCTGTGAATAGGTATATCTCAGTTTATCTGCAATATCTGGCCTATTCCCGGTTGACTGTGAATAGACAAAGATCCATCTGGACTATTCTCACATACCGTTGTCAATTTTTGGCAGTTGACTGGGAATAAGGGCATGAAAGTAATAAAATCCTCAGCAGCTGAGTTTTAAAGTTTTTTAGTAGAAAGATTAAAAAATAACGGCCTTATCAGTTAAAAAAGCATGCTCATTTTAATCTTTTTAAAAAAAATTGTTTTAATTATTTCTAGGCGATTAGTTTGGATAGTAAAAAGTAAGTGAAGTTCCCTTTCAAACCTGACGGTCTATAGGTCATGTGAAGTAGAGTTCACTTTTTGTTTCTGTGAACTTAGCATATAAAGATATAGTGTGGTCAGCACTATGCCCAGCCGCCTTTACTTTCCCTAACCTGAGTTAGGTACCCACCAGAGTGGACCAGGGGTCCTCTGATTCGAACTCGAGACTTACGGGTTAGCAGTCTAGCTCTCTACCCCTAGACCACTGCTAGATTTAAATCCAATAATCAGTCATTTGGGACAGGGTGGTTGAATGCTAACCTTAAAATCTTGAGTTGCAATCCTGTATCAAGTCCAAATAATGTAACTAAGTCCACCCAGCTCTGATGGGTACCTGAATTATGTTAGTGAAAGTAAAGGTGGCTGAGGGTAGAGCTGACCACACTACCCTTTCATATGCAGATATCACAGAAACAGGTGAACTCTACTTTACTTGCCCCATGAACCGTCAGTATTTTTTTTCTAGAAGAATTACTGGTTAAAATTCCATAGTACATCAGGTACATGCAGACATGTCTACCATTCCGACAAAAACGGCATTGTTCCGCTTTTTTTACAACAAATTGTGTCCTGTTCTGCCATCCAGTTTTCATCAAAATTTGTTCAGTTTAAAAAAAAAAATTAATAAAGAAAAGTAATAAATCAAATTTAAAAAAAGACCAGGGAAAAGCAACAATCTCCCTTTGGCACCCGTTTCCTAGTCTACTTACAATATCATCAAATACTAGATCTACTAATTGATAATGTGGACAATCTAGCTTCTGAACGTTCTTTTTAGTATTTGCATTTGAATTGTAGATTTAAATTATGCCTTAAATAACCTGTAGGGAGAAAAATACAATAAAATCATGACTAACACGCTAAGTTCTAGATCTAGATAGTAGATCTACTAGATACAGATCCAGTACTAAGAAGTAACTAGCACTTTTACTAGGTAGATCTAGAGCTTAACTCTTAACTTATATTTTATATTACATACAAAGCCTTCAGCATTTGTTGTTCATCATATAGCCTAGAACATAGCAAGGCAGGAATGATTATAATCAAATCAATAATGTTATGTCATAGCTAAGTGGGGGGGGGGGGGGGGGGGGGGCTCAGGCTGCTGGTTAACTTTTTAAAAAAAAAATGTAAGTTGACCATAAGTAGTATTTAACTAATTTCACCTAGAGATTAGTTATATATAACTATTTAAATTTAAAATGGCCTGAAGCCACAGAACAATTGCACTTTAGTAAAACTTCCAAATTCATAATTTTTATTTTAAAAAGAAAATGTTGATGAGTCTACAGAAAGAAATAAGTTTTTCAAATCTTAAAATTCATTTATTGTTTTCCTTTCCCCCCCCTGTCACACTTTGTGGCTTGTTTTGTGTTTGGTATTCTTTAGTTGTTCCCCTTTGAGAGTTACAGACATGAACTCAATCTATTTTTTTTTTTTTTTAAATTTAAAAATCCTTTCTTTGTACCCAGATCCACTTCACCCCACCAGATCAGCTTAATCAGTCATGGGATGCTGATGCGGTAGACAGAAACCTCCGGATTGAAAACACTCACACAATGATGCAGGCCCTCAAAATGCGTGCTGCTGGTCTTAAAAACGGAACAACCAAAAGTGGAACAGCCGGCCAAATATTACCTTCACCCCTTACGATGTAAGTTTTCAATTCCCACCCGTTCAGCTATGATAAAGATGTTTCATTCATGTGAATTGATATCGCACTCAAAGTTTAGAATTTTTTATTTCAAAACAAATTAAATTATTTGTTTTTTCTACTTCATGAAGCAATAGAGAAAAAGAAACCGAAGTAAAAAATGATGTATCTGTTGTAACCAAAGCTGGCGTCAGAAAATCCCCTAGGAACCTGAAAAATGAATCTGCCAAAGATGAGGACAAACCTAAAGAAACGCCCATTTTGAAAACAGTAAAACACAAGGAAAATAATAAAAACAAGCAGGTGGTAAATTTTTTCCTAACTTTTTCTAGATCTGTTATATAAAGGTTAAGGATTTGATCTTGTAAAGAAAAAGTATATTCATTTCAATTACAAGTACACACAATTTAAAAAAAATAATTATTCAAATGCTCAGATGTTAAAAATTTAAAATTTATCTTTCTCAGATAAAAACCAGAGAAGACAATGCTTCTAAGTTAAAAACCAGAGAAGACAGTGCTTCTAAGTTAAACACCAGAGAAGACAATGCTTCTAAGTTAAACACCAGAGAAGACAAAACTTCTAAGTTAAACACCAGAGAAGACAAAGCTTCTAAGCTAAACACCAGAGAAGAGAACTCTTCTAAGTTAAAATCAAAAGAAGACAACTCATCTGAGTTAAAAACCAGAGAAGGCAACACTTCTAAATTAAAAACCAAAGAAGATAACTTTTCTATGGCAAAATCCAAAGAAGACAACTCTTCAAAGTTAAAAACCAGAGAAGGCAACACTTCTAAATTAAAAACCAAAGAAGACAACTTTTCTATGGCAAAATCCAAAGAAGACAACTCTTCAAAGTTAAAAACCAGAGAGAACAATTCTTCTGTGTTAGAATCCAAAGAAAGCAACTCTTCTAAGTTAAAAACCAGGGAAGACAACTCTTCTAAGTTGAAAACTAAAGAAGATACCACAATATCGATCCAAGAAATTGTTTTAAGGGATTGGATCATAAGGCCTTTACCTGTCTGCCGTGGATTATGTGTTGAGGGCCAAAAACTGTAATTTTCTATTTTTTTCCTTTGTCACTAATTTCCTTTTTAAAAATATAACTGTTGTTTTGTTATATAGACTTGTTTTGTTATACCACTAATTTTAAATTCAATCACTTGAAATTAATATAACACATGTTTATCTTCAGGGGGAGAGAAGACTTCTGGCATAGCACCGCCATTGCAGAGGCCAAGACAGCCAAAGTTGTGGTCACAGTTTCAGGTTCTGTATACAAACTGAAAGGAAAGATCAACAAACTCTGCACTATAGATAATGGTATGACCTCTAATGTTTGTTTACTCTGTGTGTGCTTTGTTCATTCACTTAAGGTTAGGGAATGTAATAAAAAAGGTACCATTGTAGAAATTTTAATCTATCTAAAGGTTTCCCAGAAAGTATTGCCAAGGCATTTTCTAAAGGTTTTCCTCCAAACTGGAAGGAATTAATCAAAGAATATTACGCAGATCTAGAAGAAAGGTAAATATATGGCTATCATGAAATATAATACTTTAGATTTGCCTCTAGATCAGTGGTTCTTAACCTGGGTTTGATCAAACCCAAAGGATTAAGAAAGTTAGTCTCAGGTTTCTGCAGAGTTAAGGGGGGACCGGTAGTCAACTTTCTTGAAAAATTTCAAATTTTTCAACTAAAATCATTTTTGTATATCTTATTTTTTGGTGATTTTGATATCTAGTGAAGGTTGACATCGAACTTTATTTTTTTTATTTTTTTTTGTAAGTGATGTAAGCTACTGTTTCCCCCAATAATATTATCGGAAAAGTGGTTATTTATCAAGGCTATTCATTATTTTGCTAATAAATACATTTATATGATAAAATATTTACACAATAAAGCTTCATTTTGAGTTTTCTCAGTTTTGTAAATTTTACTCTATAGAACTCGGGGGAAACAATTTAACTCAAAATGTGCCTATTAGAAATACATGAAATGGCCACAGTATGTAACAAACATATGTATCTATAAACATGCAAAGGGGTTTGGCCATACTTCAATTGTTAAAAAAGTTGTGCAAGTTTTAGTATTGTTTTCAAAGAAGATCATTCGAATTTTTAAAAATTCATTTTAAAAATTTCACAAAAAATTCATTTTGTAAGATATCAAAATTTCCCTTTAACAAACCGTCCTTTGTCATGTCTACTAGGAATGTGCAAAGTTACATTGCATTGTTTTTATCTATTTTATTAGTTATTTTGTTTCTACTGAGTACATAAAAAATTGTTCAATTTGACCCCAAATTTCGCAATAAATGTATAAATTGGCCAAAATAAATACAGTGTTATAATGTTTAAAGTATTTTAAAGTTAATACAATTTCAAACAAGCATGTATCTTATAATTTGTGAGAAAATGTGTTTTCACTACCGTTCCCCCCTTAAGACCCACACCTGACTTAGATGATTCACTATCAGTTTTTGTCAGTGTGGGCGATAGAAGTGTAAGGTAAATGCCAATTTGAAACTGAAGGCGCTCTGTACTTTTAAAAAGGTTAAGAACCACTGTTCTACATTCTGATAAGAACACTGAACAGTTACTACATCATGTGACATTTATTATTTTATCTTACAAGGTAAACTTTTCTTACTGTACAAATGAATATCATTTTAGCATCTCCATCATTGAGAATGAGACCCCAAAGAGGGTCAAGGCTAAAAGAGGGAGAAAACCAAAGCTGAAAGCACCACAGGAGAAAAAAGAGGATCCCAATACCACCACAAGCTCAAGTAAGTATTTGAAGTATTTTTTGAGTTTAGGTGAAAGCTAATTTTTATGCGTTTTATAAATTACTTAAAACATCTTGAGCTGTAATATTTTTAACCATGTGTAATCATAATTCTTTTTGAATTGGTTTATTTGGTTGTTAGATTTGTATAGGAAAAAATTACATATCAAGTACCTTTATTTACTATTCAAAGCACCTATTTTAGAATATTTTACTTGGCATAGTCTAATCTAAGACTCCTAGATTTGTCTAATTATTAAAAATGTGTTACAATTTAGATGAGACAAATATGGTTTTATTTTTAATACAAACCCTTCCTCAGCAATCACAAAACCTTTTATTCCCATCATAAAATATAAAGACAGGCTTTGATAATGACATCTTGTTTACATAGGTTTACTGAGGAAGGATTGTGTTAAATTTTTCATTGTGTTTCATCTGTGTGGAGGATTTGACTGTAAAAAAAAATTGATGATGTAAGTTTGTCCTTGTTGTAGTCTGGACACCAGGTGGATTGATCCAACAGGAGATCCACGCCAACAACGTGACCATCACAAGAAGTGGGCGCATGTCCCTCCCACCCCTGGCCAGGTGGGTTGGTCAGCATTACTCAAGGGCGCCAGGCTCGGACAAAATCCAAGTCAGCTTTGAGACAGAAGTAGCTAAAGAAACTCTTACCCAATACACTAACCATGTCATGAACCTGCCTGTGGTAATTTCTTTTTTGTTTTTAAAAAAAAATGTTTTCTGTTTAATTAATGAGTTGCTTTTAATAAGTATTTGGCTAAATTAATTTTTTTTTTAAATTCTGAAAGGTGCTTTTTGTTTAATCATCAGAAAGATCAGAAGCTGTTCTTGTCCAGGGGAGTTCTTTCTCCCAACATAACCCAGCTTGCTGCAAGTAACAGCAGTAAAAAACCTAAAACAGCAAAAAAGTCAGGCTTGGATGACACAGCTGGCGAAAAAAAATCAGATAAAGACACAAAAGAGAACAAGAATTTTGACAACACATACACAAAACTAACTAAAACTGGAAAAATATCTGATGTTGTTGACTCTAAAGCTGATGAAAAAGATCAGAGTTCTACTCAAGATCCATCTGCTACTCAGACTCCTGGCCTACTCAGGTCAACTCGCAAACGTAAAATTGTTCAGATGACCGATTTTGAAACGGTCAGCCCAAAGAAAACAACCAGTCTCCGCAAGCCTGGCAGGAAAAAAGCCAAGCTGTCAGAGTTTGATGACTTGAATGAGAAGCCGGCAAATAACTTGTTAACCAGGACTCGGCAGGGTAAACATAAACAAGACGAAATTAACATTTCGGAAACCAAACAGAAAAGCAGCAGTAAACAGAAAAATAGAACAAAAACAAGTCCACCAGACTCCAGTTTATGCAATACTGATCTCAATGATTCACTTTCATCAGATTTTGAGGTGTCTGATCCTAAACTTAAAGTTAAAAAGGGGCAAAAAAAGACTAAAACAGTGAAAAATAAAAAGAAGGGAAGCGGATCAGAAAGTGCATCTGTGAGTGATACCCCTACTCCTCAAGTGTGTGACACCACTTTTTCTAAAGTCAGTGACACCTCTGGTTCTAAAACCAATGACACTTTCCGTACGAACAATAAAGCCATATCAGCACCCAAAACAAGTGCTGCTCCTACCTCTAAATCCGTCGCCAAACAGCAGAAATCTTCAGTGAGCCCCTCACACCTAGTCGCTCAAACAGCTGTGCCTTCTAAGGAAAAACAGAAGCGGTCTTATACGAAAAAAGCAAACGTGGACACAAAATCAAAAAAGAGGAAATTAGCAGATACAACAACATCAGATTGTGAGAAATCTAAAAAAACCAAGATCAGTAATGAAATAGATGATAGCAATGGTGAGAAGTGGAGTCCTCATGAAGAAGAGGTCTTTTTCAAGTAAGTTTCTTCTCCTAAATTATCAAACTTACATCTTTATCTTTTGTTACAAATTTAATTATTTATACAATTCTTTTTTTTTTAATGTTGTTTACAAAATGAATGACTTTGATCTTTCTTAGTTTATTTGTTTGCTTCTTAATGACTGATAACTGCAACAAACATTCTTCAAATTATTATGCAATATGAATATATACATATTTATATTTGTGTATTAAAAAATTAATTTCCCGTCTACTGGTTTTACCTACATTAAAATGTGTGTACACTGTGTGTAACTTAGTGCAGTTTTACATTTCCATCATCAAATTGTGTGAAATCTTAATTTAGTCAAGTGTAACTGTATGCTTCAATTATCAAATTGTGTGAAATCTCTAGTTTGCCTTGTGTATCTCCAGAGCTCTAAAAACTATTACCAGTGACCTGCCAGATTACTGGCAGAAAGTGGCCAAAGTAGTTGGAACAAGGTCAGAGGTCGAATGCCAGCAGTTCCACAAACTCTGGCTGGAAGAGAAATCGAAAAATAAACAGAACAAACATTCCACCAAGCGAACCAAAAGCACAAGTAAGCTCTTGACACCTTTATTTACCTGTTTGTAAAAAACCCTCATGGAAGTGTAACATGTTTTTGATTAAACTATTTGTGTTGAATTAAATATAAACAATCATGAAATAAATTATAAATTACAATCTTATAACATAGGGACAGTTTTAACTGAACTATTGTATTATTATTATTATGTATGTTGAGATGTCTTCGAGAGAGATTTCAGCATAATAAATACAAATTTCAAAACTTTCAGGTCGTCAAAAAGGTGAGCCAATCCGAGGTGGCAAGGGTACATTAAAACGTAAACAAGAAATCAGAGCCTTCCTAGATGAACAGAACGAAGGCTACGAGGATGATCTGTTCACAAGTAGCCCCTTTGTTGCCAGACAAAAACTCTTGTCTGTAAGTTTTCTTTTATTTTTGTGATATTTATATGAAGACTTGATGGTCTACTGGGTAGACGGGGTTGAGATTTTCTGTGATCTCTACTTAGAAAGAGATTGTTGAGTCCATGGCATGGTCAGCCAGCTTTACTTACCTAGATAGTCATCACAGGTGGATTTCTTGTTAAAACTTCCCGACAAAAATGGATGTTTTAATGTGTGGTAGAAAGTGCCAATTCTTTTCAATTTGGATCTTGGTTTAGATCACAAATTTTTATTAAAAAATCATAATTGAAAAAGCTGTTAATTTTTTTTTTAATTTACACTATTTACCATTGTATGTTTTTAGACTGCTGTAGACTTCAACAAAAATGACTCTGAGGTGTTTGGCGCAAATCACAACTTCTTTACCCCAGTCTCAGGGTCAAGAGCACAAGGAACACCAGGGGTGAGGATAAGAGCAGCCATGGCTTCAGCCAAGAAAACACCCATCAGCTCAGCAGCCATAGATGAAACACCCATCTCAGCCAACAGGTATTTCACTGTTTTAGTTCCATGTGCTTTACATTTACGAAAATGTTACAATCACATCACATATAATAAAACAGCCACTTGTGTCTCATATTTAATATTCAGATAGACTGGGCATTTTTCTTTAAAGTGTTTAAATATGGTGGGCAGGTGGGGCACAGTACGTCCATAAAGCCAGTGCGGATAAATAAGTTATTAGTGCACATATTTTAGTATTTTACTGCTTAAAATATATTTTGTTATACTGTGACACTTATTTCCCTTATTTTGAAACTATCATGAGCAACCAATTTATATATTTAAGGTTTAGCTAATTGTGGGCTTTGAATGGTGACATTTTTTTTTTCAAATTTATATTTTGAAGATGTTTTATGTGAACAAAAACTGCCTTCATTTATAACTATTAAAATTATTGTCAACTAAAATTTCCAGCAGGAGAAACCAGGCTGACCGCTACATCAAGCATTTCATAGACAGGAAGAAAAAGACAAAAAAATCAAAAAGTCTGGATCAGGAGGTAGGTTTCAAACTGCACTCATTTTTTCTTGCCACATTTTGGTTTATGGCACAGGTCTCAAATAATTCATGCCATTTCAGGTCTCAAATAGGTTATGTCACATTTAAATCTCAAATAATTCATTTGCATTTAGGTCTTTAATAATTCATGTTGCATTTTGTAGTCTATTCCATACCACGTATTTGCTTTAAAAATGAGCTGCTTAAAAAAATCTTTATTCACAAACTGTTGCGCATTAGTGTTTCAGTATGGTTAGTCGTTGGAGCTGTTTCTTTTTGCTGCACAGTGTACTTAACTAATTTTAGGATAGTGAAAGGTTCACATCCCTTTTCTAAAATCTATTGATTCAGAGTGTTCAAAAAGTGTTTGAAAATTCAGAAATGTTTTTATCAAACATATGTTTAAAAAAAATTTGTTTCAGTGTTCAAAAAGAGTTTGAAAATTCAGAAATTTTTTCACGAAACAAATGTTGTCTTATATTTGTTTCAGGTTGTTCAAAAAGAGTTTGAAAATTCAGAAACTTTTCATGAAACAAATGTTGTCTGTTATTTGTTTCAGGTTGTTCAAAAAGAGTTCAAGGATAATCTAGAACTGAGTGTCCTGCCAGTGAAATCCCTGTTCTCCCCAGTCACTAACCCAAGTATTTTAATTGATGGTGCAGATGATGATGATGATGAAGATAATAAAGACATGTACTATTGGGATGATGACGACTAATGACTTAGATCCTAGTTTTATATACAAAGAAGATTTATTTATATATTTATGTTAAATTAACTTAAATGTACTTGTTTTGAAACGAAAAGTAATTTTTTTTTCAACTTAAACTTTAAAAAAAATGAATAACTACTTTTTGTTGTTTACAAATGTCATTACATCTTGCCAGAAAGTGCATTTATTTTGATCTCAGTCAGGTTTGAAAAAGTGGGCAGGAATTTTTATTTTAATGTCAATTGATTTTTTTTTTATGGAAAATGATTTTCAACACCATTGGTTTATTTTTTTTTTGCTAATAAACCACACAAGTTTAACTGTATTATTGTAAATTGTTCTGGCAATGTTATAGATGGCAGACACAAGTCATATAAATGAAATTGTATGTTATGTAGATTTCTGTACATTTGTAACTAATTTTCATTGTAAATATGTTTTATTTTATCGGATATGAATTTTTGGGGAGGGAAAAGGGGGTGACTAGGTGGGGAAGAAATACATGGAGTATTTTTAATTCTTTCACAAATGAATTAAATGTAGTTAATAAAATTGTAAAAAAAATCAAAATTAATGAAATATTACAATAAAACATAGTTCATTAAATTGAAATGTATTAAAATTTAAAATGTATTTTGAATTATTCAAAAGCAGAAAAAGGAATGTTTTCTTATTTTACATTTACATAAATTTTTTCTTGTGATAGGCTACCAACACTATGTAATTTAAAAACAATTTGATTTTGGAAATATAATAACAAAGGATTATTAAATTTGAAGAAATGTAATAAAAACCTGCTGTAAATATTCCCTTACTGCTGTGTGCACTAGATGTTTTTTCAACTGGTTGAATGTTGGCCATAGGTTTGAGCTACTTTACCTCTGGTGATGGGAAATGTATGAACGGTGTATGTGGAACGATGTTCTGTAAACTGTCTTTGTGTGCGTATACCATTACTATTGTATGTATTGTAAGTGTTGAGTCTGGCTGGGTTTGTTGATGTTTATGTTGTACAAAGTAACCAATGGTAACAAGGGAAGCAACTGGTCAGTGACTGTTGTGTGAGGGGGGGGGGGGTTGTTGGGAGATGTATAAAGGAGGGAGTGTCAGCTAGACAAGTGTCACTTATATGTTGAGATTCAAACTGGTTTTGATCCACCCAAAGACTTATGATCCGTGTCTGAATGAATCTTGGCTTCACATTACCCAGAGGCGTAGCAAGAGAGGGGGGTGTGGACTGCACCAGGTGACACCATTTAGGGGGGGTGACACCAATGGCAAAAAATAGCAAAATATATACAGAAAAATTGTAATTCCCCTTACTTAAGTAATTAATTAGAGTGTTAAATAGTGTTTTAAGAGAAAATTTCACAAATCAAAAGTGGGGGGTTGACACCATGACGTAAATCCTGCTAATGATAGAGAAAACATGCTACATCAAGCTGTATTTATATATAAACATATATATATATATATATATATATATATATATATATATATTTACGGGGGGGGGGGTGACACCCGACCTCACTACGCCACTGACATTACCCATCTATCTGACAAATATCATATACATTGTGTGCAGTTGAAAAAACAAATTTGTTCACACATACAATTTTAACAAAAAGAACAGGACAAATATGACAACTCACTTATTGATAATTAGGAATTAGTGAAAGAAAATGTTTTAAGTATTATTTCAAAATATATTACTGTTCTTTTTTATTTCTTTAAGCACCGTTAACTTCTAGAAGAGATTCTTTAAGATTCTTGAGTTCTAGTAGGTCAAATATTTTAGTTCTAGGTTAGATGAACATGTTCTAGGTCAAATATTTTAGATCTGATTCTGAGAGGTTCTTGCAACTGTATTGACAGTTGGTTTGTTAAAGTGTTATGACCTCCCTTCTGTTGTAGTCAGTAGTAAAAAAAAAAATCCTCCACTTTAAAACATTTTCCTGTACACTACATATGTTAGTTGTCCATTACAACAGACAACAGACAATGCTAAAAAAAATTCCATTTTTTTTATACTATGAAGAAGACTGCTTCGATTTATAATTGATATAATTTACAGTATGCAGACATAACTACCATCCCGCTTAAAAAAAAAAAAATCGTGTCCTGTTCCGCCAAGGGAAAAAGCGATTATTTCCCTTTGGCACAGGTTTGCGTTTCCTTGTTTACCTACAATATTAGTAGCAGTTGCGATCAGTGTTTCTTCCAGACTTTTTTCTCCGGCGGACGGGGGGTGAGGGGGATGGGGGGGGGGAGGTACTGTTAAAAGTATATATTTTCTATATAAATTCCATTTTACACTTTTTAGAGACCCCAAATTTACTGGTTAATTGTTGGTTTTCACTAAAAAAAAAATCTATTACGTGCACACACTTAAATATAAATACCAGCTGCCATCACCCCCTATCCAGACATTGTTTAGGCCTAAATAAAGCCAACGCTTCCAAAACTAAAATAGTCCGGACCAGCGATCGCTTATGACAATAAAATGGGTGCTTTTTAGCGTTAAAAACACAAACAACAGCCGAATGATGAGATGACAAATTATTGGCCCATCTTTTTTTAAAAAGTCAGCAATGAGTTGTTCCCCTTGAACAAACTTCAAAACGTCCCACCCCTGGTCAGCTGTGGTCGCTTTGTGCTTGGAAACTGTTAACATGAAGCGATTCTCCCTAAAATTTTATACATTTAATTTCTGGTACACGATTCGGTTGATCAACTAGTTTCAGGAAATAAAACACTGAATCTTTAAAAAAAAACAGGCTAGAAAAAAACATGTTTTACTTCAACATGTGAGTGCAAGAGTGATCCGAATAGCTTACAAATTGCGCTTTAATCCAAAAGTTTTTTAAGGGCAGAAAGTTACCAGTTTTGAATATTAGTTAATTGAAGTGAAAGGTAGATTAGTATAATTGCTTTATTTGCCGAACTAATGAGAATTAAAACCGAAACTAGACGGTAGGCGGGTGCTACAAAAGATATGGCAAGGTTTATCTCAAGAGTACAGAAAGTTTGTTGTAAGGCCATAGGGGTCGTCCATAAATGACGTCACACTCCTAGGGGGAGGGGGGGGGGTCTGTAATTTTGTGACGACGTGTGACGGAGGGGAGGGGGGGGGGGGGGAGGTAAAAATCGTCAAAAAAGCGTGACTTCATTTATGGATGACCCCATAGCTCAGGGGTCTCCAAACTACGGCCCGCGGGCCAGATGCGGCCCGCGAGGTCCTCTTATCCGGCCCGCGGAGATCTTTTTGTCCACAGAAAAAACGTTTGTTGGTGATGGCTTCGCAACTTTGCCAAGAAAATTCAAAGACATGCCTGGAAGAAACTGGCCCCCGAACTGAAATTTGATATTTAATGCGGCCCTCGGACTGAAAAGTTTGGAGACCCCAGCCATAGCTCATTGACAGTGCCGTATTGAGGTTGAACAGGAGACACCCAAATTCGGAGGGGCGAAAATTTTCTCTTTTCAACAAGAGTAAAAATTTTCCTATCGATTTTTATTGGTTTTATAAAATCTAAATGAGGGATGAATTTCCAAACCATAAGCTTTTTTGTCCTCTAACTTTACAAATACAAAATTACGAGATATTTTTTTCTCCCATGAAAATATACGTTTGTCCCTTAGTCTGACTTCAACGCCAACGCTTCACAGTGCAAAGTGCAGCTGTCAACGCTTCTTGTCAAATAATGTTTATTTAGGCATAACGCGAGCTCTTCCTAAAATAATAAATGGGTTTCTGACTGATCTTGCTTAGGCCCTAGCCTACAAAATGCGACCTAGCTTATTTTATCAGACCTGCAAATGTATAGTGGACATCTATTATTATAATCATGTGCCTTCCATTAGATCCAGACCAGCAACACTAGGACCTATAACTCTAACAAGTTTACAACAGTAGGCCTATTTATAAAAGGTATGGAGTGATGTTTTCAAATTTTGTTATCTGAATCAAATTTTCATATATTTACAATTTGCTTAACTGTATTAGATCCTTTCTCAGAGTTTCTTCCAGCCCCCCCCCCCCGAACGAAATGAAATTTATATAATTTATATAGAAATATATACTTTTAACAGTGTCCACCCCCCCCCGAAGAAAGTCTACCTCCCCCCCCCGAAAATTTCAAGTGCCCCCCCCCCCCCCCGGAGAAAAAAGTCTGGAAGAAACACTGACCTTTCTTCATTATGACCCTAAACAACTTCTCTGTATTACCAATGTGCTTTTTGATACCTCGATTTCTTGCAAAAAACATAATGATGATACAGAGAGTGTATGTGTATACAATTAATAAAGGTTTACTAAGTTAAATACAAATGAAGAAAAAAAAATAACATTATCGGAAATGGGTGGCGGTGGCGGGTACGTAGTACTACTAGTACTTCTTACCCGCCATCGCATGGTACGCTTTAGCCGATTTTGACTACAAGCCGATTTTTTTATTTACGTTTGTAATTCTCAAAATTTACAATACAAAACTTATTTTATTAATGAAGTAGAGTAATTTTGTCGTCACCATAGAACGTTTAAAAACAAGGCACGCAAATCATCTACACCACTGCACAGTTAGAAAAACAGCTAAACATTACATCAGACATTGACAAAACACATTGACAAAACACAAAAACTGATTTACCGTTTCTCTTTTACGATCGATTCCAATATTTTTTTGTCAGAACATATATTTTATCATCTAGAACAATTTAAACAAGTTCCCGCGATTTTCTGTCGGTCAGGTCAAGCAACATGGGGGGTGCTACTAGATTCTAGTTGCCTGCCGATGCGGCTTACCCACCTTTACCCTATGTATATAGGGGCCCCGAAAAAATTTCAGCCGGGGGCCCCACTCAAGCTTAATCCGCCCCTGTTTACAAGTATAATCTAATACTAAAACTACAAATAGATAATGTGGACAAGCTATCTTCTGAACGGTTTTTTTTGGACACCTTCTACTGAAATGTAGATTTAAGTTATAACGTGTAGAGATAAAAATACAGTAAAATAATGAATAAAACGCTGATTTCTAGATCTAGACATTAAATCTAGATTCTAGAATCTAGCTAGATCTATCTTGTAACTACCAACTTAGAAAGAAGTAACCTGATCTATTCTAGATCTAGATCTAAGACTTTTACTAGGTAGGTCTTAACTCTTAACTTATATTTTATGAGGCCTAACATACGAAGCCTTCGCATTTGTTGTTCATATCGCCTAGAACATAAGAAGGGCAGGAATAATCTAATCAATAATTCTTTGGGGAATACCTGCTGAATACATTGTTTCCGAATTATCTCTCCTTTTCACCCCCACCCTCTCCCCCGGAAAATTTAGTCCGCGCCCCTCCCCTCCCAGCACTTAGGGGGAATTATCCAGCATTTTCGATGACTGTAGATGCGGGGGTGGGGGGTGGTGGTGAGGGTGAGATGGGGTTTTGGGACTATGTGATCAGGGCATCACACAATACGTAATGTTTACACCAAAAACAAAGCTGCATAAACAATGTACAGACCTATCCGGCATAGTTCTGTGTTTTTTAAACCCAACTCAAGGGCACCTCTATTTATAATGCGGTAGAGCATTATTATTGTTTCGTCGTTTCATCAAGCTTGGTGTAGGGGGGGGGGGGGGGCTA